TTTAAAAAATAAGTTGTCAATTTTCACGAAACAACTTGATCATTGAGCATTGATAGATTATCAGTAATATGCCAAATGCATGTTTGCGTTATAAATTTAGTTTTTAAACATTTATACAATCACTATTAATTCTAGATGAGTTGTAGTTAACATGTGAAAGGTAACTTATAAATATGCAAATGTGACTTGTTAATATTCAAACACTTAAAAAAAATTCAGAATTTTAACAAGCCATGTTTGAATATTAACAAATATATATATATATATATATATCATTTATTATTTTATTTAGCATATTGTTGATAACTTATCAATATCCAGAGAACAAGTTAGTATTTGAAAAATTACAATTTTTTTTTATAATTAACAAGTGAAGTTCAATGCCAACAAATGGTTGTTCAAATATTAACAACAACAAGCCCAAAATTAATAATGGCATGAAAATGCTTGAAAACTAAATTTATGACGCACACAAGCAATATATATATATATATATATTTAGTATAATATTAATAACTTGTCAATAATGAAGGAATAAGTTGATATTTAAAAAATGAATGCACACAAGCAATATATATATATATATATATATACTTAGTATAATATTAATAACTTGTCAATAATGAAGGAATAAGTTGATATTTAAAAAATGCTGGCTTAATTTTTGAATATTGTCAAGTCCAGTCCAACTATTAACAAGCAACTATATAGATATTAACAACCTATCCAGAATTAACAATAGTTATGAAAATTTTTGGAAACTAAAATTATAACATATACTCTTTTCAAACCACAATATAAGTCATAATTAATTAATTTATAATTTATAAATGATGTTAGTATTTATTTATACTCTCATTAGATACTCTGTATAAGAGCTATTCATGGTAATTAAAATTTTAATAAACATGATTTTTTTAGAGAGAGTAATAAATGAAATAAGTATATAGTTAAAAGAAATATAAAAGTTATCTAATATCCTATTTTTTGGATCAAACAAGATTTTTGAAAAATGCTTTATATTGTGATTTGGAGAGAATATATTATTTTATTTAGTATAATATCGATAACTTATCAATAGTCACAAGTAACTTGGTTTTTGAAAATGTACAACTTGTTTTTTTTTTAAATAATGGCAATTCAAGTCCAAAAATCAACAAGTGGTTGTTCAGATATTAATAATAATGCTACCAACATTAAAAATCACTCAACCAATGCTTGGAAACAAAACTTATAATTTATATTATTTTACATCATATATCTTAAAGGATTGCTTGGCTTAATGGCCTTTAACATTTTGGAATATTAGGGGGTAAGGGGTCTTAGTCTCTTGGGTTCAAAACCCCCATGCCCCCTTTCCAGAGTTGGTCGTCATTGACCATGTCATTGTTTGTGATAGTGGCTCTAATGTCAGTGGCCAGTGGCTTTTTTTTTTTTAAGAAACAAAGGCATTAATTGCATTTAAAGACTTTTGGCCCTTCGTGTAATTTCAAAATACATTTAATTTCATAATATTATAAATTATCTTCCAACATGTAAAATCTCCTAATTACTCCATAAACTTAATCATATTAAACACAATTTACCATGATAATTGGTGAATGACTCACCCCTAAGTAACCATCTTCAGAAGATTCTTTAACTGTAGTTGTTAGAAGAACTCATTATAATAGAAAGGAAAAAATTTGATTCAAAAGTTTGCCATGACTAATTAAAATTAAACTTATTCAAATTAAGCATGAAATGATCCCTACCATAGTAGAATAAATTTTACTTTGAATAGTTTCACCCAAGTAACTTTGCCTCTTAAAATAAAAGAGATAGAAATTACTTTGTTGATAAAATATTCTTTGATAAAACCATTTAATTAATGGGATCCCAAGTTTAAATATGACTAAAGCCCTTTTCAATCAAAACAACAATGAAACATTAGAGTTCACATATATTTGAAAACATGGGATACCAACTAATTTGAGATCTTTAGAAAGACATAATTAAAAGTCCAATTTTAACAAACATAATTGTTCATCATAGCAAAGATAAGATGAGTCGTAGCCAACAACATTATGTGACATGCACTGTGACATAGGTGTTGTTCACCACAATGCATTGCACATTTCAAATAGCCCGTTGTTGTCAAATTACAAATTTGGGGGTCAAACGTTTAGTATGCCCTAAATTTTTATCTGATATCTAATTGAGGTGATTAAAGTATTCACAATAAGCTTATTCAAACAGCCAATTAGTGGCACTAGTTTTGTTTCTAAATAAGATCATATAACAAAATTGGACACTCAAAATCACAATAATAACATTTTCATATTTTCAACCCTTCAAGGTGTTCACAACCTAACAAAAGTGTTAAAAGCTTAACAATGCCCCTAGACCACACTCAAGAAACTTAGGACGACCTATACAATACACATATTAGTTACATTTAACATAGAACACATCCATTCATGCACCCATAATCTAACCAACCTATACACAATTTACCTTAGCAATAATCACAGGTTAGAATGCAGCAACCACAAGTAATATGCATTTTGGTGCAAGTATGATTAAACTCAACCTAATTGGTAATATCATAGTAAATTACACATATAAAAACTCAAATGTTAAACAAGGCATTACAACAAGATTCACACCCCAAGCCTTATATCTTTTCAATTTTGTCTTGACTAAATCTGGTGCTTGTAAAATGTTAAGTGAAGGGTGAGTACAACCACTCAATAATCAAGGTACACCTAATCTATACAAATGTAAATTAATTAATTATAGCAACATGAGTGGCATAGTTTGAAACATGTTATAACCACAACAGTCAACAAATAACCACAGTCACAATACGAACAACCATATGACTATAAGTAATAACACACAATGTCACGATGATAATAGCCATGTGACCATAAGATACCATGATGTGCAAATGTCATAATGACAACAAAAACATTATCTTAAAGACGATATGCATGATCAACTCCATCCTTATGTCCTCTTGATATATTTAACTAAAACTATGAGCTATATAACTAATGAGCTTGTCCATGTGAATAGATTACCTAAGCTCTTCAATTGTGAGAAACTGCTAAGCCAAGGAAACTATACTTACTCTAGGACCACTGTTTCCCCCCACATTAAACACTATGGGGTGTCATGCCCTTAAACTAGCATCCTTGTTGAACAAGTAAGAACTAGTTAGGTTTAAATTTCTTGATAAACTATAGGATAGTTTCTCGTATAATAAGTGGGACAATAATTAATTCACAAGCCATTGAGCTCCAATAGTCTCTTTGCCACGTGTATTTAATTCTCTACTCTTCTCCCTAAATTAATTTTCACCTTATATAATCTTGCAATGTAACACATGCTTACTTATAGCATGCAAATCTCAATCATCATGTACATAACATGTAATTTCTTAAATTATCAACTCATCACTTCTCAAGCACGTATACTTTATCAAGGTAATTTATTAAATCACAATAATAACTTAAAGTTTTCATTCAACATCATCACACTTCACGTTTCTCTTGTATCTTCTCATAATTATGCTCAACGTTACGTTACTCATATTATCACATAGTCAAATTCATTTTTGCCAACAACCACTTAAAACATCAATTTCATGTCACATTTGCATTTTGCATGTATTTTAAAAGAATATTCATGTTTTTTAAATAAATCATATAATCTATAATTAATTAAACAAGCAAGAGTATAAACTATATTTCCTTCAATTATTTCAGACTTTTGAGAGATCAAATATTATTTCTTACTAAACTTGCTTCCTAAGATTACATTTGAGCTCAAAATGGTGTGTTATATGGTTAATCTACAATCCATAATAACAATCATTACTAATAATCACTAGACATACAATTTCTAACTCCCAATTACATACTTTAAATACCAAATTTTCAACCCACATGCGCAAACTCAAATCCAATAAATTTATTATATCCCATTAACTCCATTGAATTCCAAGTAACTTAAATAACATCAATTTATAACACTTCACAACCAAATTTCTTCGTCAAAGAGTCTTAAACCAAAGAAATTCGGATCTAATGATCACATCATCAGTGTCCATTGTTCTAGGAGCAAAAACGAACTATCAACAACTCCATTCCATCCATTTAATTCGGCCATAGTCAAACAAAGCTAAAAAATTCCACCAAGAACCGTAATCAAAGGAGGAGCTATAAACCCTAATCTCAAAAGGTAGCTAGGATGAAAGAGAAATGATGGGAAAACTTACTTCAAGTGATTCATAGCTCAAAAATGCCCTGAATTGCTAGAGAAGCTAAGCCCTAGCAAAGCTTCACTGTCTCCTCTGACCTCCTACTATACTTATATGATTTTTTGCATTTTTCAAGCATTTGAAACATTGTTTTGATGTTAAATTTATAGATGGTCATGCATGTTGAAAAACACAATTGTTGGCGGTTGTAGTTACTAAATAGGATTTGTCCTTGTTCAAAACTGTGGAAGATTTTATTTAGTGTAAAAATACAGCTGTGGACGGTTTTGATGAAAGAGTATGCTCCACTCTAAGGGTGCTCATGTGCGATTGGTTTTGATAGAAATTCCATTACTTTCTCAAAACTAAATTTTAAGCCCTAATCTCAAACTACGATATTCCTTATCACTTTTTATTTTGATTAATATTTTTAGTAAAAGTTTTTGGGATATTACACAAGGGCATTCAATGCAATTCTCCTGTGAATAAAAAAAATTAAATGCACATTTTAACCTTTTTTAAATTAATCGTTAAAGATGGAGAACGATCGTTGTACACATTTAATCAAAATCAATAAGAGTTTAGTATATTTTAATCTTCTCTTCCATGTGAAAGTAAGCTTGCCAGATAGACCATCTGCGCTTCAATTTATTTAATTAGTCGTCATCCATACGTTATTTTTCTTTTTTTTGTAGTCCTCTTATATACAAACAAAGGCTGCACGCTACTCCGGCCATGGCCCAAAAAAAAAAAAAAAGTCGTCCGATGCACGCTCCTGTTGCATGAGCAATTGGTATTAACGGAAGACAGAAACAGGACGCCCACATGCGATATTTCTCCAACGCTCCAATGACGATGACTTGCAGTTGGAGACTCAGATTGTTCTAGAGCTGATAGGGGTTACATTTCCCTATAATTACGTGCACGACCACATTTAGTATTTTTTTTTTGGTGCCTTTGCGGCTAAGAAAGAGGTTATCCACTTTTTGATTTTGCGACTGCGAGTTGGTAGTTTCCGGCGAGTTTGCTTTACACCGGGAAATACGCTTCTTCGCGTTTCGGGAGCAGATTGAATGTCCTTTTCTTTTCTTACCGTCTCAATGGTGAAGGATTTGAAGTGATCGTGTGTTTTGTTGCCTCCAATGGGAAAATTTCTTGGTGGTTTTGTACTGCCTGTGCTGCTTCTAGCTGGTAAAATTGCAATTCTGTTTTACCAGAAATTGCTTTTTCCATTTTATCTCTAATTTGAACTATTTCGACGTGTCAGTGACTATATATGATCCTAATTGAAGGGTTTGAACTGGGTAACTTATGGAAAATCAAATCCAAGGTTGTGCTGGGGGCATTTTTGAACATGACTACTGAATTCGGGTTGTTTTATAGGCTAACCATTTCTTTGTAGCTTCCAAAGCTGATCGGCTTGCATGATATAAAAAGCATAAGCTAGTCTAACAAATTATATGCTTGAAATGAGTGGAACGGCAGACATTGTTCATTATCATGGAGCTTGAGGTGCGGAATAAATCCTCTGGTTGGTTTTCTGGTTGAAATCAAATTTTGCCCTTCTGGGAGAGAATATTTCCTACATATACGTACCCATAATATCCTATCGGTGAAACAATATCGATAAATAATAAAAAGTTATGGGGAGCTGACTGTGCCACTTATTTTGTGTTCCATGCAAATACGCGAGGCGCACTCTGGTTCAATTGATTTTCAAAAATAAAAAGGTGGAGTCGAGTCCTTTGATATGTGTAAAAATTGTCACTTCGAACCATAGTGTGCTCCGTGCAGAAATTTAACCTATTTTCTAGTGGACTTTTTGGGAGGCATGTCTTATTATGATTGTATCCGAAGATTTTGTACTCCTTAAACAAGAACCCTGGTGGAAAATTAAAGATTAATTTAAGAGTGAGTAGCAGTAGCTATTTTTTATGATAATTTCAATATTTAAAGAATATAAGCTTTTTATATCTTTTCGAATTGTTTCACTACCTTTCACAACTTAATGGCTGCTTCCTTTATATGGACACGTTGATATTTACTCCATCACTGAAGCATGTGATAACTTTTATGTGCTCTCCTTTCCTGCAGCTGCTTTAATTAACTGGAGTTTGATATCTCTCGTTGATTTGATAGCTTTTCTTATCATTCAATATAATGCACCAAAGATTGGTACGTACCTATTTCTTTATGTTTGAAGTTGCCAATTTGCAAGCTGCAAATGTGATTTTTATCAGCAATATGCAAATTACTTGTCCATTTCGGGAATTCTTTTAGTCCTTGGTTTGGCCTGGGGTGGGGACAGGTTGTGGCTGTGGAAGTGATGTCACTTATATAACTGGAAACACAGGCGAAAGCTCTTATATTTCTTTCCCTTTTCTGATCAACGGACAATGTAAATCCCTTCTTAAAATTTATATGTAAATGATGAATGATATAATGTTGATAGGACTGCTGGATTTACTAAGACATAAGAGAAAATTAAGGATGACAGAGAGAATGGGAGGGAGTAATTCTGCTGGTCCAGGGCATTATCCTTTTATTTGTAAATCACTCATTATCTTATGTAAAAGCTTCATTGTCACTGCAAAGTGCAAACAACATTATGATTTCTCTAGGCCATTGTGAAATTCCAAAAGATAATTTACCAATAAAACGAGTTGAAAATATATAATAATTTCTTCTACTTTCACCCCACGTCATATGCTGTCCACTTGGCAGTCAGTAGAGCATGTTTCCCATTTTTGGAGGACCCAAGAAGGAAAATAAAAAATGAAATAAAAGAATAAGAATAGATGATAGCATTATGTCAAACAATGAACCACACCCTTTAACTGTACATTTTTATATTTTTGAAACATGATATTGATGTTTATCGTAGGACAGAACTGAGAGTCAATTGCTTATGAGTATGGGCCATTCTCAGGCAGAAGTTACTAAGAGTTGATGTGTTCTTGATATTGTTTATCATTGTGTTGGATGCTATGGTTTAGCTCATTATTCTGCTCTTATCATTATCTTAACACCTGCCACTAACCCCTTTTTTTTTTTTTAAATTTTTTTTTCTTCTTGTAGGATTTCATTCCCGAAGGCATTTGTTGCTATTGTGGTCAATAATTATCTTTTCTGTACTAGTCATACTTTCTCAAGTGACTTATCTGGTGATATGGGCTGTTGAGGGAAGCTCATGGAGCGTACCTGGCGTTTGGTGGGAAAACCTGATTGGACTTATGATGTGAGATTGATTTCATTTTAACTGACTAACTCATTCGCTCTTTTGTGACATACTGATTAGTTTTTTTTTTTTTTGAAATTTACTTTTGCAGAGTTCAATCATGGAGATCCCCTTATGTTATTTATTTCTTGGCTGTGCAACTCCTTGTAATGTTTGTAGCTTTAGTTGATATACACAAAAACAGACTTTTTCTTGGGACATGGCAAGATTCATCTTGTGGCCAGTTCTTATCAATTGTTGGACAAATAGGTTTGTAAGTAGTTCATTAGACCCTCTTGCGTCTTTTTTTTGGTGGAGAAAAGTGGATTTTGCCCCTTTGAACTGAGGCCTTATAACAACTTCAGCCCTTCAACTTTAAAACGTTACTGATGGACTAACAGGGCATATTTTTATTTAGCAAGGGGATATTTTGTTGCATTTTAAAGTTGATGGACTAGAGTTATAACTAGGCCTTAATTTTTTTTTTTTGTGGGGAGGGGGTAAAATATTTTTTTCCCTTTCCTTTTTTCCTTGTATTTGTTTCTGTTGGTTGCTTTATTTTTTCTCTCTCACCTATTACTTGTTTGCAATGTGAAATGTCTATTTTTGGAAAGTGCATTCATTTATAGAGGGAATGGTGTCTTCTTGGGTGATTGAAGTTGACATACTCATGTCCATGCTATGTGGCAATACCCATGCACTCTCTCTCGGGTGATAATATGCATGCGTACTGTATTATTTGGAAATTATTAGTATTTCTTCATTCCATTTACACTTGATGAAACAGGACATGAGTCAGTAAAAGGTGATAGCCATGAACTGTATGTAGTCTAGTGGAGGCTGTTTGAATATTGCAAATACCATGTTATGCTGGTTGAAGTTGGTGAGGATGTAGTATGGCGTTTCATTCTGTTGTATAATACATATCAGTCTTTTTTGGCAAGTCAAGCTATTGAACTCTTCTTATGAATAGCCTTGTAATTTTGAAATATTCTAAAACGAATTGTGAACAATTTTACTTTTTACATGTTTAATTGAGTATTAACATGTGATAATAATAAATCAAATTAGTGATGTTGATTGCATTTGGTGTTATGTTTGCGTGTGTTGAGATATTCAATACTAGAAAAAAAATAGAGTAATCAGGAAAACATTATGGTATCAGAAAGTACTATACAAGATGAATTTTCTATGCTGTTTATAAGCTCTTCCTTCAATATCTGTACCTCTTCTTATGACCTTTTAAACACTCGTGTTATTTATACAGCAGTGTTAATTTGATATTGATTTTTTTTTTGTTTCTGACACTTGCATCTTGGTGTTAGCGATGTCAAGCATTTTTCACTGTTGCTCTTCCTGTCTCATTTAGTTTCTCTGTATGTCATCTTGAAGGTTCTCATCTTCGGGTCACTTCATGCTTGCTGTTACCTGCTATTCAACTAGTTGTTGGAATTAGCCATCCTTCCTGGGCTTCATTACCTTTTTTTATTGGTAGCTGTGTTGGTCTTGTGGACTGGTCTTTAACAAGCAACTTTCTTGGACTTTTCAGGTGATTTCTTAACTCATTTATTCATCATGCTCTTTTCTCTCACTCTTTCTAGGTCATGTTTTACTGTTCCATTTTAAGTCTCCTTTGAGCTTTTGCATATGTATGTGGTTCTATAGGTGGTGGAGGACTCTTCAACTTTATGCAGGTTTCAATATTTTCCTGCTTTACATATATCAACTTCCTGTGGAACTTCCAAGTATAGTTGAAAGAGTAGCTGATTTGATTGGTCTCTTTAAAATATCTGTAAATTCTGAGTGGCTCAAGATTTGTTCCAGCCTTTCTCTCGTTTGTTTTTATATGATGGTATGTATCTTTTTCAAGATTTGATTGGTTTATATGGCTTTAAGTTGGAATTGTATGATAAATTTTTTTCCCCTTTTTGGGATGGAAAAAGAAACTTTATTAAGGAAAAAAGAGAATTACAAGAATGGAGAATAAATGATTTGCTTCTTATTTAAATAGTTAATAGTTAATTTTTGAGGAGGGTTCCTCTCCCTTGGGTGTTCATCAATTGATGTCAGAGCTGATGGTTGAGGGCTCTAGAAGAGGCTACTTAGAGAGGGTTTTGATCAACATAAGCTAAGTGAAGCATTGTAGAGTTCTGCAGTTGGGACATTGACTCTCTAAGGTTAGCCAATTGATGGCGATCAAGGTAGTATGTGATGTGAAATCTCACATTGAGTAGTTTAGTTGCTCTATGGGGGTACTTAAGTAGGTTGTTTGTCTCATCTCAATAGTTAGCTTTTAAGAAAGGATTCTCCACCTTACTTGAGTGCCGATCAACTATCAACAATGGATGCTTGTAGTCTCTCTCTTTCTTTCTTTTTGGCACTATTGTATTATGATGCTTGGACAGCGCATTTCAGGCTTTTTTTAACCGTAACACTAGTGTTATTACTTATTCAACTTTCAACTAGGAGAGTAATGATATACGACTGTAAGCAATTATCCTTATTACACATGTGATAATATATGCACCTTGAGTTTGTCTCTGAGAGTGTTTTCTCTTCATAATTCTTCCCTCCTATGCAGCTGTGTTTCATCAAATCTGATTTGGAGGAGATGGATTTCATTATGTCTGGGACAGACAGTAGCTTAACCGAGCAACTGCTTCCATCTAACCACTCATTTTTTATTCGTGAATCAAGGTATAGAATGGAAACCTATTTGTTTGAGTTGCCTTTTGCTTCTCTTACAAGGACATAGTTCAAAAGCTTATAAATGGATGATGTAGTTATTTTGTGTCAAGAAAAAGAAAATTCTTTCTTTATGTCATGTAAATAGGCCACAACTATTTCTGTTGCATCATAATATTACTAGTAGTCAGAGTTAATGTCCAATTTGTAAGACTATTTTGGCAAATGAGTGTTTCTCTTGGCTTTTTTTAAAGATAATTTGTTATTATTTTTTTAAATTTTTTGATTGGCCATTAAACTTTTGAGTGCACTATAAGTTGACACCCTATATTGTTGTTAAATGAATTGTGTGCAATTATTTAAGTAGTGCTCATAGCCTGTAGGTCCTGCCTCCTGTTAACTAAGTCGCATTTTGACTTTCATATCTGTCGCATATTTTGGGGATAAGGGAAGGACTTTGATATTGAACTCATTTTACTTGCTCATATCTTACTGTGTGTAAATATAAACTAGGAGATACATTAGTAAACTACTATTTAAGGATTCAATACAAGGATAAGTGATCCTCCATTTTTTGCTTGAATGACGCTGACAAGTATTGGTTTAGATTCTTCAAGATGTTGCAGGAGCGGATGTTTAAAAAAAAAAAAAAAAAAGAGTCACTGATAATTTTGTCTCAATCTAATAATGACGAGGTTATGTGCTGCTTGTGAATACTCTGCACAAACGCACTCATCTTTGTGTTTTTTCCCCTTCTTTTCCTCTCTTTGGTAATATGTTATATGGCCTGAATCCTACTGGGTTTGTAAATTAACTGTGCAGATCTGGCGTGAAGCACACAAACGTTTTACTCAGAGGATCTGTTTTTCGGACATTTAGCATCAACTTTTTCACGTATGGTTTCCCGGTATAAATTCCTGAAAACATAATATAATCTACTTTATGTTTTCTCTGATGATTCTTACATGATTTTGACTGTCAAAGTCATTAATTTCATGGGGCACATTAAATCATGAAAGAGTATGAAACTATTAATAATCATAGTCAATATGATTTATTTATTATTATAATTTTTTGAATTGATGAGTTCGCCTTTAATTTGTCTGGAAAAAATTGTGCTTTGTGATTTGGCCATGATTTAAGATTTATGCACATTGGTTCCCAAGAAGTATGTTGTATTGGTTTTCCCTTCCAATGTGGAGATGTGCCCCACAAAAAAGGGTTAAAAGCAACTTGACCTAATTTTCTGAACTAGTGAGACCCCCAAAGTATTATAACAATCAACAAGGAAAATCCTCAGCATAAAAATTTGGTAGGCTCAAAAATTAAACAGTTACCTTATATTGAACCTAAACATGAAGTCAATATCTCAATGATTTAAATCGAGAGCAGTTCAGTTCAAACTAAGGCTGTTGAATAAAGTCAGCTGGGATGTCAACTGCCTCTAGTTGGCTCCAAAACTCACGAGAGGAGACAGAAAGGAGGGACTGAAGGAAGGAAGGAAGGAAAGAACGGATTACTGGTCCACTAGGGAATACAAGGGTATATGCCTAAAAGATAAAGGGAAGCAGACTGGTAAATAAGTGAATTCACAATGAAAATGAAAATAGAAGGGGGAAGATGGGGAGTGGTTGGGTCATCCTTTAGGGGGGGGGGACTTTATACCAAATGGTGTATTTGGGATCGAGTTTGCTTCTACCTCCCTAAAATCAATTTTATTCGCCATTTGGGACAATATTGATTTTCAAATTGTTTAACTTCTTTAAGAAACAAATTCTGATCTTGACAGAAGTGGAGGAGGGACTTTGCTCTGATTTGGATAAATACAACTAACAAAAATCAACCAGAAAATTTCTACAAGACCTACTGAAATTTGAAGCAGTTGGATGCTTATTCATCAATAATTGATAGGATTAGACTTAGGGGCAGTTACTTGTATCTTTGTTGTCAGGTTCTCTGTAAAATTATAAATTGTTAAGAATTCTGTAAAAAAAAATAAAAAATAAAAATCAAATCATGGGATAGTGAGTCGTAGACTACATATTTGTCTCTGAAAATCATATATTTGTCATGTTATTATTGGAAAGCCATACAATTGTTGCTTTTAATTACCTCGCTAGCACAGATAAATGGAACTGCATGTAAGGTTTTTCCCAACAAGTTTCAAAGGTGCAAGACTTGTGTTTACTGTATTGGATCAAGCAGGCGCCTCTTTCATTTATCAGTCTTCAAGTTAAAGCTTAAGTTCTCATAGTATAAAGATAAACTTTGTCCCTTTGAAATTTACCATTTTCATGCTAATTATTGGCCAGACCTAATTTTAATATCCATACCTTTTTCATCTAAATGAAGCAAATCACTAAATTAGGAAAGGAAATGGTTTCATATTTTTATTATCCAAATGACCAATGGGCCAATCAAACGATAAATGATGCGTCACTAGCTATATTATTTAAGGAAATTATCTGTCTTTTGGTTCCTTCTCTTCTATGAAGGTGCTTATTGGGAGGTACATAATCTTGTTTGATAATCCCTCTGATGCATTTGCAGCTGTTTATTTCATTGTAATGTTCTTTTAATTCACTTGCTATGAAATAACTTGTCTATGAATTTTCTTTTTCCTTGGGTGAATAACATGTATAAATTGTCAAATATTGAAATTTTTTACAGGTTTCCTTGTTTGCTTTGTCCTTTTGGAGTTTTCATTTTGCAAGCTTATGTGCATTTGGGCTACTTGCTTATGTTGGCTACATCATCTATGCCTTCCCTTCTTTGTTTCGTTTGCACCGGTTGAATGGGCTGCTTCTTGTCTTCATTCTCTTGTGGGCCGTTAGCACCTATGTCTTTAATGTTGCATTTGCATTCCTGAATTGGAAACTTGGACGGGTAATTATCTCTTTGAAAATTGCCGTTTGATTATGTAAAAACTTATCTTTAAATAATTGTTCCATTATACGTGTGTTCAGGACATGAAAATATGGGAGATGGTCGGTTTGTGGCACTATCCTATTCCTGGACTTTTTCTGCTTGCACAGTTTTGTTTGGGAATTTTGGTTGCCTTGGGTAATCTTGTGAACAACTCTGTATTCCTCTGCTTGTCAGACGAGGATGGGAATTCTTCAAATGAATGTTCCTCTGACAATGGTAATAGTTACCATCTTTTCATGCTAGTTACTTAAAAACTTGACAACCCTTTTTAGTTTATAATTATGCCTATCAATTTCCTTTTTTAATTTGTATATGCCTTTTGGACGCAAATACGCACGTTTACATTCATTTTTTGTTTTTTGACTTGCTTGAACTAACTCCTCTGGTTGTATTAAATGGTTAAGGGAATAAAAGTGAGCATCCTACATGTAGCATAACAAAATCTGTGAAGACTGATGGATTAACACCTAACACAAGACTCGTAAATCCTCATAGAAGAAGAGCAAAGGAAGAAATTACTCTTTTGCACCAGTGATTGTTTACTTATTAATTTTAACATTCTTTTATGTATCAGCCATCTTACCTGACTTACATGGCTAAACTTTTATCCACCACCCTTGCTTATTTCTTATCGTTTATTTTGCATTATCTGTTTTTTTTTTAAACAAATTAATTTTTGTCGACTGAATTTAAAGTATATCTGTCTCTATAATGTTGTCTTATTATTTTTTCAATTACAGTGGAGGGAGAGACTAAGGTGTTGATTGTGGCCACAATAGCATGGGGTCTGCGCAAAAGCTCTCGAGCTATCATGCTGACATTGATCTTTCTCATTGCCATTAAGCCTGGTTTTATCCATGCTGTATATAGTATGCTTTATCAAACCATTGATCACTTTTCTTTTCTTTTCTTTTCTTTTTATCTATTTTGCTGATTGATTGAAAAAAATCATTTATCCTTTGTTCTTTTAACTGATAAGATGAATGGTACTATGTCATATGATGAGACTTAATGTGAACTTACTGATTGCTTTCTGTTATGTCTACTATGCAGTGATATTTTTCTTGATATATCTTTTGAGTCACAACATTAGCAGAAAGATGAGGCAGGCTCTGGTTCTTCTATGCGAAGTTCACTTTGCACTTCTATACATTCTTCAAATTAATTTGATCTCTTCTGCTTTGGAGAAAAAAGGCTCTATCAGTATGGAAGTCCTAATGCAGTTAGGTATGCGGTGGGTTTGTTTTGTTGAAAAATATATTGATGCCTCGTTTACTTGCCATCCAACTAGTGATGTAATGAGGAAAAGAGAAGTCTGACTGGACATATTGTGAATTGATACAGGTCTCCTTGAAGAAGATAGTTCTTGGGATTTCTTGGAAGTGACTTTACTCGCTTGCTTCTGTGCAATTCATAACCATGGTTTTGAGATGTTATTTTCATTTTCCGCAATTGTACAGCATGCCCCTAGCCCTCCTCTTGGATTTAGTATCTTAAAAGCTGGTCTAAACAAATCTGTTCTGTTGTCTGTATATGCCTCCTCCTCTGTGAGATACAGCCATGACACTTTCTCTTATGGTACTTTTTTTTTTGGTGAATTTATTTATGGCTTATAACGCTTTGACTTGTTTTTTAGGTTACATATTGTGCTTTAACTTTTGTTGCCGTGATTGATTACTGATTGGTTGCCCAGCATGGGTTTATTGGGCCCTAGGCCCATCAATTTTGTTATATTTTATTTATCATTTTCTGTTCAACAGATTAGGAACCTGACTTCAAAAAATACTTTCTGTCATGATTTACTTAATATCTTAGATTCCTAGGTTCTAGCAATCTAGTATGCAGTGGTTTCTAGGATTCTAGGGTTTAGTGACTGCTGCTTCTTCACATATGGTTGTATACTTTAGTTGGATAATTAAAAGGATATTATTCTGTCACTTTTGATCAACTTCCATTTTATTTCAAGAAAAAAGTTGTAGATAAAAATTTTATTTTTTCCTGAATTTATATGATTGGCATGCCGATTCTCTTAATTGTTGTATTAGGAGATAAACCCTGGAAAGTTATCAAGCATGTGAACTGTCTGTAGGTGACATCAATTACAGTTATCCTTTTTTATGCCAAATTCTTGTTGGGGGTTTTGTGGTTGAGGGTAGGGAAATTATTCTAGGATCAGCTCACAGTCTGATAGTCTAATTGGATGATGGAAAACCCTTTTTTTTTTTTAAATCTGGATGTTGGAAAAGTTGTAATGATGTAATTATGAATTTATAATTAGGAAGTTGTCAATGGTAGGATACATACTAGCATTATGTATAATGTATGTTAAACCATGAATAGAAAAACTAAGTGATACCTGTGATAAGAAGAGTCAGGAAGGAAGCAGCTGTTACTTCTCAGTCAGGAGTTAGTTAAGAATTGTTAAAGGTAACTAGGGAAGCTAACATCTTAAGTACTCAGCTAACTTCTCTTATGAGATATGAACAGGAGGCAATAGGAATATTGTATGCTGTTAAATTAATTGAATAGACATTAGTATTGAGTACTGGTTTTTTTTCTGAAACTATGCACCACTAAGAATCTTTGTATTTCCACCATTTTTCCCACTGCTTTCATTCTTGATTTTGGTCTGTGTTTTATCATATATTATTTTTACAGAGAGAAGAATAGCATCATATCTGAGTGCAATTGGGCAGAAGTTCCTATCTATTTATCGATCTTGTGGAACCTACATAGCTTTCCTGACAATTCTTCTCACAGTATACCTGGTGAGACCTAATTGTATATCATTTGGCTACATATTCCTTCTCCTTCTGTGGATCATTGGAAGACAACTTGTTGAGAGAACCAAAAGACGGCTGTGGTTTCCGTTAAAAGTTTATGCAATTTTGGTGTTTATCTTTGTATATAGCTTGAGCAGTTTCTCAAGCCTTGAGATGTGGTTGTCTAAGTTAATTGATCTCTACATTTATTTGGGTTATGACTCAAAGGCATCGCCTCTCAAAAATATTTGGGAGTCTCTGGCAGTCCTAATTGTCATGCAACTTTATAGCTACGAGAGGAGGCAGAGCAGGAATAATAGACTGGATGACTTTGATCGACTAGAGTCAGGGATTGTGGGGTTTGTCAGACGATTTCTTATCTGGCACAGTGAGAAGATCTTGTTTATTGCATTGTTTTATGCATCTTTTTCTCCAATTAGTGCATTTGGATTTTTATATCTGCTTGGCCTTGTCATATGCTCCACTTTCCCAAAAACTTCTAGGATCCCATCCAAGTCATTTTTAGCATACACGGGGTTTCTAGTTGCAGTTGAATATCTCTTCCAGATGTGGGGCAAGCAGGTTGAAATGTTTCCCGGGCAGAAGCACTATGATATATCTCTATTTTTGGGTTTCCATGTATTCCAGCGAGGCTTTTGGGGTTTAGAATCGGGATTGAGAGGAAAAGTTCTGGTAATTGCAGCTTGTACCCTTCAGTACAATGTCTTTCATTGGTTGGAGAGGATGCGAAATGCAGTTTTAAACAAAGAAAAGTTTGAAGAACCTTGTCCATTGTTTGTTTCCATAGAAGATGCATTCAATAATGTTGATGCATGCAATGAGGGAAATAAATCATTGTTCAATTCACATCCACCATCTGCAAGACAAGAAGGGGTTTTGAACAATTCTTCAGAAATTTTGTCCTCTGGCTTTTCTCAAATAGGTGATACTGCACCTTCTAAACCAGGAGGTTCTGACAGTATTGGTAGTAAATATTCATTTGGGTTTATCTGGGGTAGCACAAAGGAGAGTCACAAGTGGAACAAGAGGATTGTTGCTTTGAGAAAGGAGCGATTTGAAACACAGAAGAGTCTCTTAAAAATATATCTGAAATTTTGGATGGAGAATATGTTTAATTTGTTTGGTCTTGAGATAAACATGATAGCATTACTATTAGCTAGCTTTGCTTTGTTGAATGCAATATCAATTTTGTATATTGCACTGCTTGCTGCTTGTGTTCTTTTGAGTCGGCAAATTATACGTAAAGTCTGGCCCATATTTGTTTTCTTGTTTGCTTCCATTCTCATCCTGGAATATTTTGTCATCTGGATGGATGAATTGAATTCACATGTCCCAAGTGAGATTCATTGCCATGACTGCTGGAGAAGTTCAACTAAGTATTTCCATTACTGTAGAAATTGTTGGCTCGGTATGACTCTCTTCCATATTTAGAATGTAATTCATGAAGAATTCTAATGCCTGTACATATGTTTCTAATAGTTCAGTATTTGAGGGCATTATAAAGTTTTCTTTATAAGCATTAAGCCTTCTAAGTTCTTTATCTTTTTCAGATGCTATAATTATCTGTTTCATTTTCAAACAATCTAGAGTACCTTTCTCTCTGGCTTGAGGAAACTAGTGACATTGATTCTTACAATTTTTTAGTGCTTCCTTTTAACACACTCATGTTAATTATGTTAATATGTATGTATGAATAATATGTTTTGTTTAGTCTTGCACGTTGAAACCTTCAAATTGAATAACATGTTCCTTCCTTTGGTTCTTCTAGGACTAATTGTTGATGACCCCCGGATCTTTGTAAGCTATTTTGTGGTCTTCATGCTGGCTTGTTTTAAACTCCGTGCTGATCGCCAGCCTGGTTTGTCAGGGTCTTCAACTTATCATCAGATTATGTCCCAACGTAAGAACACATTTGTTTGGAGAGATCTCTCTTTTGACACTAAAAGCATGTGGACATTTCTTGACTATTTGAGGCTTTACTGCTATTGCCATCTGCTGGATCTTGTGCTAATACTAATATTGATTACTGGAACACTTGAATATGACATTCTACATCTTGGTTATCTTGCCTTTGCTCTGGTATTCTTTCGCATGAGACTTGAAATACTGAAGAAGAAGAATAAAATATTCAAGTTCTTGCGCATATATAATTTTGTTCTAATTGTTCTCTCTCTTGCTTACCAGTCTCCTTTTGTTGGGGGATTTAGTGCTGGGAAATGTGCTACTGTGGATTACATTTTTGAGATCATTGGATTTTACAAATACGACTATGGTTTTCGGATTACAGCAAGATCTGCATTAGTTGAGATTATCATTTTTGTGTTGGTATCACTTCAGTCGTATATGTTTTCTTCTCAAGAGTTTGATTATGTGTCTCGCTACCTGGAAGCAGAGCAAATTGGTGCTATTGTACATGAGCAAGAGAAAAAAGCTGCTTGGAAAACTGAACAGTTACAACAAATTCGTGAAGCTCAGGAGAAAAAACGTCAGCGTAACATGCAGGTGGAAAAGATGAAATCTGAAATGCTCAACCTCCAATTACAACTCCACAGCATGAACTCATCCACTAATTGTGGTGATGGATTTTCTCACAGCAATGAAGGTCTAAGAAGGAGGAGAAACACTTCTCTTGCTTCAAATAATGACATTGGAACCCCTGATAAAGAAGAGCATATTGTTGGGAAACTAGATCATAGTGCAAGGGAGGATTCCGTTTTTCCAATTGAACTGCACAAATCACCTGCTAACATGGATATGGAAACTCCATTTGCAGAAGAATATATGAAGTATTTGGTGGATTCTTCTAGGTGTGAGATTACTGAAATAGATGATGATACTTCTAGAGAGTTAGAATTAAAGGCAAAAATTAAAGGGCAAGCAAAAGAAAACCCATTAAAATCTGCTGTACAGTTGATAGGTGATGGTGTTTCCCAGGTACAGTCCATTGGAAATCAGGCAGTCAATAACCTGGTGAGCTTTTTGAACATTGCACAAGAAGAATCTGATGTGAATGAGCAGACATTTATGGAGGATGGGATATATGATGATATGGAGAGTCGAGAGACCCAGCATGGGTATTTGGAACGTTCCTCATCTCTTCAGTCTGATAAGAGTTCTGATGCTGCGAGTCTGCAGTTAGGAAGGATCTTCCGTCATATATGGTCTCAGATGCGTTCCAATAATGATATTGTGTGTTACTGTTGCTTTGTTCTTGTTTTCTTATGGAACTTCAGCCTGCTTTCAATGGTTTATCTTGCAGCTCTCTTCTTGTATGCTTTGTGCGTAAATACAGGCCCGAGTTACATTTTCTGGATTATCATGCTCATTTATACTGAGGTTTATATTTTACTTCAGTATCTGTACCAAATCATCATCCAGCATTGTGGGTTGAGTATTAATTCTCACTTATTACGTGAATTAGGTTTCCCCACAGACAAAATTACGTCATCCTTTGTTGTCAGTTCATTTCCTCTATTTCTTGTGTACTTGTTTACCCTCATTCAGAGCTCCATAACTGTAAAAGATGGTGAATGGATGACTTGTACAGACTTAAAGTTTTTTAATAGAAATGATCTCTATGCTAGAGATGTCTCCACTAGTTACAACTGGAATGATAGAGCTTGGAATCTGATAAATCAGTTAACCAATATGGTGAAACTGATAATCAGAAGCTTCTTTAGGTACTGGAAATCACTGACGCAAGGAGCAGAATCTCCTCCTTATTTTGTCCAGGTGTCTATGGATGTCAATTTCTGGCCTGAAGATGGGATTCAGCCAGAGAGGATTGAGTCTGGAATTAATCAGTTGCTCAGAAATGTTCACAACGATAGGTGCAAGGAAAAGAACCCCAGTCTCTGCCCTTTTGCTAGTAGGGTTCATGTTCAAAGAATCGAAAGAAGCCTAGAAAATCCCAATGTCGCACTGGTTGTTTTTGAGGTAGTTTATGCCTCTCCTGTAATGGGGTGCTTTTCAGCAGAATGGCACAAGTCTTTAACTCCTGCAGCTGATGTAGCCAAGGAAATTCTTGAAGCGCAGCAAGGAGGTTTTGTGGAAGAATGGGGATTTCCTTACCATATACTGTCAGTAATTGGTGGAGGCAAAAGAGAACTTGATCTGTATGCCTACATATTTTGTGCAGATTTGATTGTATTCTTTCTTGTTGCCATGTTCTATCAGTCTGTCATTAAAAATAAAAGTGAATTCCTTGATGTATATCAGCTTGAAGATCAGTTTCCAAAAGAGTTTGTCTTTATTTTAATGGTATGTCAATTTTTTAACATTTTCAACTGGTCTGTGTATTTATATACAACACTAGTGTTTATAAACTTAGATTAATCCAGATCTAGATCATGTGCATTTCTTGGGTGACTGATAAACTTAGATTTGGACTTATGCAGGCCCCCCACTTCTCTCATACCAGAAAAAGTTACAGAATTATAGAGGCATGATTCGGTTTTGCACCTTTCCCCCCTATTTTTTCAAGAACAAATTTTGTGGTGGTTAAAAGTCACATAAACGAGCTGTAATACATTATAGTGATTGGCATATAAGCTAGCAGCTGAGTTAGGAAAGCTACCTTGATTAAGTACTACCTCCATCTCAAATTATAAGGCACTATTGAATAAGTTTTTCCATCGCAAAATATAGGATACTTTGGATAAATTAAGATTTTATTAAATGCACCAATTTTAATATTACCTTTTCTTTTTCTATAATTAGAAAATCGGTTGAGATGGTTTGGGCATGTGCAAAGAAGACCAAGGGAGGCACCAGTGAGAAGAGTGGAACATATAACTTTGAGTCCGATTAAGAGAGGTAGAGGAAGGCCTAAGAGAACACTCTTGGAAGTTGTTGAACGTGATCTCTTAATTAATAATATTTCTAAAAGCTTAATAAATGATAGAGCACAATGGCGTCTTGCAATCCATGTAGCCGACCCCACCTAGTGGGATAAAGGCTTGTTGTTGTTGTTGTTGTTGTTGTAATTTTCATTCCTTTTCTTTTCATTATGTTAAATGATGGGTATTGTTGGAAGTTTATATTTTTGCTTTGGAAAGATAAAATTGTTAGATGCATTTAATGAGGTTTATTGATATGTGAGATTTTATCTAAAAGTGTCTTATAATTTGAAACGGAGGAAAGCCCATATTGCTTGATACTAGACTTAGATATCTCACACTACCTTGATTTCCTATCAGTTGGCTGCTCTCAGGATGTTGATGGCCTCCATCTGCACCCCTGCAAAACGCTTTACTTGACCTATCAACAATTAGAATCCTCTGCAGATGGCTCTTTCTAGAGCTTCCTAGTTCCAACCATCAGATCTGATACCAAATGGTAGGGACTTAAGCGAGATAGGAAACTGTCTATAAAGTTAGTTATTGAGGTGGGAGGACATCCTGATTAGGTATCCTGTTAAGTAGTCTGTATCACTTGGTGAGATTTAGGCTTTCTATACCACTTTGGTTCCTGTCAGTATATTTGTGGTTCTTGTTATTTATTTCTTTAATATAAATTATAATGGCCAGATAACTCCGTGTTTACTGGTTTGGCTTGATTTGCCATGTTAACTGGACTGTTAACAATAATGAATTCTTCAATGCAGGTTATCTTCTTCCTGATTGTGCTTGATCGTATAATATATCTCTGTTCGTTTGCCACAGGGAAAGTGATTTTCTATATTTTCAACCTCATTCTCTTCACATATTCAGTTACAGAGTATGCCTGGCAATTGGAGCTTTTTCAACAACATGCTGCTGGGCTAGCTCTCCGTGGCATATATTGTGCAAAAGCAGTTTCTCTTGCACTACAGGCTGTACAAATTCGCCATGGCATCCCTCACAAGAGCACTTTGTATCGGCAGTTTCTGACCAGTGAAGTTTCACGAATCAATTATTTAGGATATAGACTTTATCGTGCTCTACCTTTTCTATATGAACTACGATGTGTGCTTGACTGGTCATGCACAACCACATCATTGACCATGTACGACTGGCTAAAGGTAGGCTCTATTGCAATGTGATTTAATCATCATATTTGTTTTCGAATTTCCTCATCTTTTGAATGGAAATTTTGTTCAACTATTAAACTCCATGGTTTATTGTAAGCATGACCATTCTCAGGTAATTGAATCTTAATATAACATGCTAAAATTCTTGTTTGAATTATATTTCTGTTAATAGTAGTTATAATTTCAACATTAGATTTCAGTCATAGAAATGAAGTTAAAAGATATCAACTGACTGCTTGCAATACTGAATTGTGCGACACTGATAGTGGAGATAAGAAATCTGCTTTTAGCTGGGTTGCCTTGAAAGCATTTCCAAAAGTGTATTTCTGAAAAAAGTCTCCCATTATGCACTAATGGTTGACTTCACAATGACTGTTAAAGATGACAACTATTGCACCAGTTAAGATGACCATAGCTCCTTCATGAATACTTTTGAGGAAAAATTGCACTTTAACCATTTAGGAAATTTGTACTTACATCTTTCTTGCCCTTTTCAGCTGGAGGACATAAATGCAAGTCTGTACCTTGTAAAATGTGATGCACTTTTGAATAGAGCTACACACAAACAAGGAGAGAGACAGACAAAAATGACCAAATGCTGCAATGGGATATGCCTGTTCTTCATATTAATCTGTGTTATATGGGCTCCTATGCTGGTAAGTCAATTCACTTGCCTTTAATATCATGGAATTACTTTGTGTTGTTGCCAAAATGATTTTGCTTGCTTTTTTCTTGCTAAACATCTTTCTGACACGCACAACCATTTTTTGATAGCAAAACTGTAATGGTTTCATTCATGAATGTTTTTGTTTGTTTTAAGTTTTAAATTGCGCTTCTCACTTTTATTGCCAAAGGTGTGACTTGTGAGTATGGAAGTTTTGTGGTCCTTTTATCAAAGGGAAGAGAATAGTATTCTAGGTTTTATCAATATATCCTCGTTTATAGCAGAGAAGCCTAAAGAAAAGGGCACAAACCTGACAATTACTAGACTCTATGCAAAGCAATACCCCTGTAATAAAGAACCCTGCAAAAAGAAACAAACTCATAGCAAGACCTAAACTCAACGTTAAAAGTGATTCAAAACAAATAATTAAAGCCCTAGAGACAAGAGAAAACAGAAAGTTAGAATATAAGGCAGCTTCATGGTCCTTATGTCTATGTCATTTATAGCAAATGTCTGAGAACTACGCATTTAGCCAACAAATTATACGACAATTCTAAATGTGAAACAAATTTTTGGATGATTATATTCACACAATTGGTCCTATTTTTTCCTGAGCAGAACATGATTAAACATGATGTGCCAGTTCTAATCTTAGTTTTGATGACAGATGTACAGCAGCGGTAACCCAACAAACATTGCAAACCCCATCAAAGATGCCAGTTTTCAGGTTGATATCAAGACAGTAAGTGGAAGGTTGAATTTGTACCAAACTACCCTGTGTGAGAAAATCCGTTGGGATAATCTTGGGTCTGATGCCAATCTTGATCCCTATGGCTACTTAAATACATATAATGAGAATGATATCCAATTGATATGCTGCCAAGCTGATGCTAGTACACTGTGGCTTGTCCCAGCCGTCATTCGGACCAGATTGATCCATTCACTTGATTGGCATAGACCATCTAGTGAGATGGAAATATATTTTACCTGGTTACTTTGGAGGGACAGGCCGAAAGGGAAGGAACTAGTTAAATTTGAAAAGCCAGTTGATTCACAGAATCTTCCAAGAGAGTCAGATGTTCAAAAGGTTCTTAACGGCTCTATGAACAGCTTTAGGATATATGGCGTTTATCCAAGGTTCTTTCGAGTCACTGGTTCTGGTGATGTTCGACCACTGGAAGTAGAGGTAATCATTTTCCAAGTGTTTGTTGTTTATCATCATTGTTTTCTTGTTTGTTAAACTAACTTTTATGAACTTCATGTTTCCAGCACTTATATATCAGCAATTTTCTCTTTATTTAACTTACTTTTGTGAGTTTCCTATATTTAAATGGTGCAAATAATTGGAGCCCCTCTGTCAGAGCCACATATTTATTATCATTTAATATTGACCAACGAATTTAAATGAGACAACAGGGAAGATATAGAAGAGTTGATGTTGAACTGCATTAGTTTCATGTTTCTCTGATGAATGCAAATATATAGATGTTTTGACCTCTGAATGTGATGTAACACACGCTAGCACAGTTCCGGACAAAGGGAGAGAGTAGAGAGAAACCAGAAACAGGGAGGGAGAATTATAGATGAAGAACAGAACAGTGGGGAGCAAGAGAGGGAGACAGACGCTGAGAGAGGGGGGGCTATTAGACTTTACTCATGATATTCGTTCATTCATCAAGCGTTGCCCGTTACAAATGCAACCAAGTCTATTTAAACAAAGCTATAATGCCTAATAAGAAAACCTTAATAACATCTCCATATTAAGTCAATGTTAAGATTTCCTCTTACAAGATATTAAAATAACACAAAGGAAACAACATATTAAAATAATACAAGAAAACATATTTCTTCCTAGAATAATAATAATCTACTACTATAGGTTTCTTCAACATATACTATTATTATATTTCATCAGGATGCTTCTAAAAATATTATCAGATAACTGAAGTGTGAGTTTCAGGATAATTCTGTGAGTGCTGATCTCATGATAAATCATGAGCAATATGAGTGGTGGTCCTTTCATGATATAAATTCATCTGATTCAAGTGGATGCGGAGGTTTGACAGGACCCATGGCAATTATAATATCTGAGGAAACACCACCACGTAAGTTGGCCATGAGATTTTTCTCACTTATTCGTGTCCATCCTTTGTTATCAGTGCCAAATTATTTCCTTGGGTAATGATTCTGAAAGTATCCCATAATAATGCTACAGAGGGTATTCTTGGTGACACTCTAAGCAAATTTAGCATATGGGGGCTCTACATAACCTTTGTTCTTGCTGTTGGCCGTTTTATCAGACTTCAGTGCTCTGACTTAAGGATGAGAATTCCCTTCGAGAACCTGCCTTCATGTGACAGGTACCGTTTCTTTTTTAAGATGGCAGTAATCGACGTGATAAAATTTTTTTGTTGTTACTTCAAATTTGTCAAACTAGTTCAACGTGATTCCGGAGGCTTTATTATGCCAGGGGATCCTTGACATCCATTTTATGAAGATACTTTATCACGCAGTAATATTAATTGTTGCATGATTTCTAATGTAGGTTGATAGCCATCTGCGAGGATATATATGCAGCCAGGGCCGAGGGTGAGCTTGGAGTTGAAGAGGTACTATACTGGACGCTGGTGAAGATATATAGGTCCCCTCACATGCTACTTGAGTACACCAAGCCAGACTAAAACCCTCGATATGCTACCTTTCGGTTGCTAACGACTAAAAAAGGCTTAAAGCACTAGTATGTCTTGACTTCCCTGCATATGGATGTGCACCATATAAGTTCGTATGGAGACTGAAGCAAATACAAAGCAGCAGTGCCTGTCCAGAACTCAGAGCAGAGTTGTTATTGCTTTGGAGATTTTCTTGACAATATAATGATCCTTGCCTCGAGGAATCTTTCCATGTTGAAGGCATTTGGGCTCTGATGCTACAGCCTAACCGGCCATATTCTTGCCAGTTGGGACTTCAGCGTCATTGAAAGGCAAGATCTACATTGGCAAATTGGTGGAGATATCATGACCGTATTTATGATTATGATTCTAAATGATTGCTTGTAAATAGTGTAAAGTGTAGGCAATTGGATCTTGTTGTAGCGAGGTATTATTTTTAACCGCTTCGCTCCATTCTCCAGCCACTCCCCCCCTCTCTCTCACTTCCTCAAATGATTAAACCTGCCTCCCAGTTCTTGCAATGCATGTGGGAAACATGTTCATGGGTTCCGCTTCCTGGGAATGGGGGATGGATTACCTTCCACGTCCTCATTCCTTTCTGATTATTAATTGACAAATAACGAGAAATATTTGTATTCGTCAACCGCCAAACTTTTAATTCTTATTCATTCTAGTATATCCTTAGGGTGAGATGGACGTGGGGGAAGAAAGATGATAAGTAATTTGGATAATTTGGCTGAAAAAAAAAAAAATCTTGTGTTCAAAAGACATGAATCAAATTTTTGGAAATTTGAAATATGGTCAGTTTGCATTGGTATATGAGGGATTTATTATTGATATGTGAAGAGTTTATCATTAAAAATTTAAAAATTTACTAAGGGTTATCATTGATATACAACAATATATCATTGATAAATATAATAAATCAATCATAATATAAAATATTATAAATATTGGGTTATTTGTTTAGTTTGGTTTTATAATATGGATTATATATGTAAAAGTCCTTAATAATTTAGTGTTGAATTGTTGATGGTGCCTCAAATGAAGAATTTTTTTTTTGAAAAAAAAAAGGTTCAACTTTAAATAGTTGATATTTTGGTTTAAAAATTCATTAGAATTTTTTTGCTACAGCATTAAACAAAATTGTTTTGTTTTCAGGCGTATGGTTTGGATTTTTTCTGCCTTGGTGAAACTGCCTTGCGTCTAATTGACCGTGCTTGAAGACAAAATAAATAACCGGTTAATATGGGCTTCAAAATATTAAACTAAATTAACTCCCGTACGTCGTACAAGATTTACATGACTCAATTGTATAAATGATCTAAGTTACCTGGAACTATAATATGAGGAACAACTTTGACAATGTAAATATATTCATATCTTTTGATAATATTTCAATTTAATTTCCTTACCTTCAATGTTAAATGGTTTTTTTGATGTTTATCGTGTTTTTTAATAGATTATTGAAATTTTTCTGAAATTATTCTTAGGCATCAATTTAAATTTATTAAGTTAACATAATTACTTTTACATTTGAATTGTGTTTTTTAAAGTTTTTTTACTTCTTTCGTTTAAAAATGTAAAACATTTTTAATCGAATCTCACCCCTTAATAAAATAATTATTTACTTTTTAATTAACCCTATCTTTTTATATTTATCCTATTAAACACCCTACAATAAATATAAAGTCATTTTTAATAGGGGCACTTCTGAAAAAAAGATAATGATTACACCTCGAAAGACAAAAAATGCCTTACATTTTTTAACATTCAACTCTTCAAAAAATATTTTTTATTTTTAAATGGAGGGAGTATCTCTTAAGGTATTATTGCATATTAGTTCTGTCTCACGTTTTACACTTCACGTTTTTGTTATATAATTTATACATTAATGTAATCATTAATGCTTTCTTTTTATTCTTATTATAAAGTATTTTCTTACTATTCTGTTATATCTAGATTTTTTTATTTTTAAAATTTATTTTAAATTTGTGCATAATTAATAGTTAAAAAATTTTATATTTATTAACAATTTTTATAAGAAATTTGAGGATAATTTAACGTCGCCATAAAAATTTAGAAAAATATCATTTAAACGTTAAGGGTCAGATAGGTCATGTGGCCTGATAGAAAAAATGTTTAGACAATTATCATTTAGAAAATTATTTATATTTCTTTGTAAGAAATATGTTATTTATTTAAACTTTATGTGTAGATTTTTTTTTTAACCTTTATATAGAACAGGTTGACAGTTATAAAAAATGGATTATTTATGATGACTTTTTCCTAATATCGTCCGTGCGCGTACATTAGCATTAATGATGTTGTCATCCCATTTTGATACTTTGAAGTTAAGAAAGAAGCACTTGTCTGGAAAAAAACACATTGCGTGTTTGTTATTCTATACGTTCTGAAATCATTCGCCACTGTGCCGTTCAGGTTATCATGTTAAATCTACGAGTCCTACGTTTCTAGATGATATATTGTTGTGCGTTTGCCCCAATCTAGTTAATCTCTGCGTAGTGTAAGTCATTGTGTGAGAAAAAATATATTCTATTGCCTCTGTTGGTGTTGAAATCAAATGGAGACACCCATTGTTTCTTTAAAATCATGCACCGAAGTCAGAATAGCAGTGACTATTATTCACGTCTATGGAATCATGGCTGAGTCGGACCCCGGTCAGATTGCTTCGGTCAACTTTATTCTCATGGATAGAGAGGTCGTATTGTTCAGAAATGATTATTGGAATGATTTATCGTGAACGTAGTCCAGTCACTTATGTTTAATGTAAATATTGTTTTTGTTGTTATGTCCATCTGTTCAGCTATCTAAAATAGAAGCTTCTACATTTGATTCCTGCTTAATTTCAAAGATGATTGTTCACGTGGATGAAGATTATTCAGGGTCAGCCAGGGGAAGGGGAACCTGTATGAATTAGTGGCCCTTTGTCATTTATAGGAGAAGGGTCCTCTGCATTGTTTTCTTTCTCTTTTTTATTTTTCTTTTTCTTTTGTTTAGCTATAATTGATGATTTAAAGACTTGGAAAAGCATACGGTGTCACAGCCATCGACACGCGTGTATGAGGGATTAGTGCCTTGGGAATGCATGGAGTGAAATTTCCGAACATTCAAAAACCAATCATAAAGGACCACAAATGAGGAGATTTCGTCATAATATGTGCAGCTTAATGGCTAAATGGGAGAAAGTCTGTTGAGAATAAATGTTGACCACCATAGACATGGAAAATCCTTTCACGAAGCATTATGGAAATACATGTGTTTCTCATGTCAATGCAAAGCTATGATCACAATCATTACATTTAAAAACGAATCACAAAGGGACCAAAAATGAGGGGGTTTTGTTATAAACGATGTGAAGCTTAATGGCTGACTGGAAGAAAATCCACTGAGAATAAATGTTGACTACCAGAGGCATGGAGAATCCTTTTATGAAGCACTTTGGAATGTTTCGACAAATGAGTACTGGTTCGGATGTTATTTTTCAGGTAATTTTTTTTAAATTAATAACTAATGTCAATGTCATTATTATCGGTTAAGTCACACCAATTTGATTTTCTTCAGATAATGAATTTACTATCAGTTATCAATTTTCATTTATAAGATATAAGTTATAGTCATTTCATGAATATTAGTTACATTTTTGTAGCTAATAAATAATAAATTAATTGTTAGCAGTTATTTTTACAATTTCTTATAACGTAACTCATACGATTACATGAAATGACTTACCTTTTTATCAGGAATAATCAGAATAGCCGTCCAAGAATTGATCAAGTAAAGTTTAAACTAATTCTATTCTATTTTAAGTAATAATGAGTAACAATTAAATTTTAAGTAAAAATTTAAGAAATCAGACAAATGAAGTTAACGAAATTTAAGAAATTAATGATAAATAAACAATAGCAAGTCATTTAACAAATGTGTCGGTATCTGCATGACATGTCATAGTTTGAATAGTTGAGATCATCTATTGATATGAATTAAATAGATGATATAATCACAATTATTATATTATTGGTATACCTTTTCTACTATTATCTAATTTAGAACATGGGAGGTGAAAGTTTAACTACATTTTACCTGTAACAACTTGAAATAAAATGTTTATTGTCTCCATCTCATGTGAAATATAAAACCATACATTGATCAATGTTTTGCCAGTTTACTATTATCAGATTATAACCATGATATATAGGAAATTAGCACAAATACATGTAAGCTGTGCGTAAATTATGAAATGGATCCGCTTTGGTAAATTAAGATCGATTAAGGATGGTATGAATTGACATAGAAACGTAGAGATCATGTAAATGTGATGAACCTAAAATGTACTCAAACGTTATCTGAAATACAACATTTGGAAAATATGACTGTCTTACAACGTCGTAATCATTAAAAGGAAGGTAATTAAAATTCAGAAATATTAAACATTGACTAACGGCCTCTTCTTGATGTAGAAGGATGATCTGGATCAATAAGCTCACGTTTTCTCTTAAAACAATCTCTGAATTACCGCACAACTTCTGAATCAGCATTAAAATGAACTCTGGTTGCATTGAAATGATTTTTCATGACCTTATCATCTGCAGTAGGAAGGAAGGAAATGTTCGTCAGGGTAAAATGATATTTAGGTTTTGATTTTATAGAGGAGTCAAACGTGCAGATGAAAAAGATCTACCACGCTTCTTGCCATCCTAGCCCATTCAATTGTAATGACCAAGTCTTGCTTGGAATTTTGAAGAAGGTAGTCATTTTAAGCATCCCAAGCTGGATCATCTTCAAATTCACAATTAAGTCGGTTACCCCTCCATATGAGATGAATCATTAAACCATATAAGGGGAACACAAACAAAGTTAACAGAATGGTTCAATGTTTTAACAGTTGAAATAACAGAATGTTGAAAGGGAAAAAAATATTGAAATATTTAATTATGGATTTATATTAATTAATAAGTCCAAATAATTTAATTTTTATGATCTTATGTGAACCGTAATAAGTAAACCAAATGGGCAGAGGCCCAACCTACAACTTAGTATTTGTCAATTATTCCCTATCTGTCAGAGATAATGGAATATAATTAATTAATTTATTTAATATAATGGTTACTGATTTAATCCTTATAAATTGATCAATTGGTAACTACTAAATACACGATAGTTTTCATTTATTTTCATTATCTTTGAACTCTTTGAAGACTATGAAAGTCTAATAAATTGTGCGTCTGTCTATACTTTAAGTAATCGAGGTATCTTTAGCAAGCGATAATAAATTTTTCAGGTACGCACACATTACGCTACTCAATCTTATTTTATATATGAATTGAGATATATGTAGTTAACAAAAAAAAAAAAACGAGAGCTCACATACCATGTGTCCTTGATAAGGAAAGTAAATTTCCAATGGATCCAGCCATCAAGATACATCTTTTTGAAGGGATCCCACTCCAGAAATGATACCGGCAGTACCTGAAATGGAAGGATAAGAATAATAAGAAAAATACATGAGTCGACAAACACGTGAAGAAAAAGAGCACAGGGATGAGGAAAATCTAACATTGATGAAAAAGACGTTTTTCTCTCCTTCGTGTATCAACCAGGAGAGAAACAGTTAATGTCTTAAGTGGGGGCAAGGGGACCGTTATTGGTGACTTCCCAAAGGCAGTGTCGTGCTTAATGACAACGAAAAGCCTGGATGAAACGGGGTTGGCATTCCAAATGACTTTGAAATGGTGAATGTCATATGAACAATCCTTTCGAAGAATAGGCCCAAATCCTATGAATAAGACTGAGCTGATTGATAACAACCAAGATCCGAGTACCCTTCAATGACAGATTAACGTATGGAAAATATGATTTAACATTTAATATATGCACTAAAAACATAATAAAGGAGATGAAAGAAAAGACCTCCATATCACAAACTGTACTATTTAAGATCTTTACAATCTGGAAGAAGCCCATATTATCTTCCCTGCAGAATAAATGGACCAACCGAACACATATGCTAGCTTGCGAGTCACCCTCTTGAAGATCCTTCAGATGAGTAAATAGATTTGGGTCCATCTTACGTGTTGGGAAAAACGAAGATAAAAAAATTGATAAGATGGTTGTTTGTGGAAAAAGAGACAGTTAAAAGACTATAAACATAAATAAGATGAACAAATATGCAAGGAACCTGCTTGGCGGTCGGGAATGAGAGTGTCAAGACGATCCATCAAGATGAAATAGACGAACAGAGAAAGGAAACAGTGGTGAAATGAAAAGAAACAGATTAAGAGAAAGAAAACGATACTGATAACAAATAACTAGGAGAGCGGAGGAAAATGAGAATGTAGAATAGAGAAGATGGAAATTCATGGGAAACAGAAAGAGGATACAATTATAATGGCATGTCGTATCCAATTAATTTGAAATTTGAAAAGGCGCAAATCAGGGATAACGTGGAAACAGATTACGTTGAAAAATATGGGGAATAAATTATGCGGGGTATATGCATGAATTGACCGATTGAGATACGGGTATTAAAAAGTAATCAAAGTATATAGACCAATGAGAATGAAGGAAATTTCCACCAATCAACTGCTTGCTTATTCCTCTGTAAAATATAGTTGATTGATAGTTGATGGTTAATTAATTAATTGATATCTGTTTTTTTTTTTAAATGATGTCACTTGTCTCTTATTTTGATTTGAATTTTACATCCTATCATCCCTTGTGAATGTTATCCCCCAAAAAAAAAAGAATACGTAAATTACCCACCGATATTTCATTATAGTAAATTATTCTCATAAATTGACGGATTGAGAAAAATCTGGAGGAGTGGGGTAGAGATCATAGGGAAAAATAAAGTTATACTCAGTCAAAGATGCAACAAATCTTGTGGGCTTTACTTTTAATGTAATAAGTAGAGCAGTGGAAAAATCTTGATATAACATCACAATTAGATAACATATTATAAATATGGATATGAATTATGATATTTCAGATAAGAAAAACAATGTTTTCAAAAAAAAAATTGAAGATAATCTTCAATAATTGATGTTTTGAAATCTGTAATTGTATAACACAAATTTCATTTCTCTAAGTGTGGTCAATTACATGAATCACATGATGTTGTTATGTTATGTTTGAAATTAATTTTTTCAATAAGCCATTAAAATCTCTATCAATGACTTATTTGTGTGTTTTTATTGCCATTCTTTTAGCTTTATTCACAAGGTTAAAGAATATCTATTTACTTCTTATTGACACTTTCAATAACTTTCTTTGAATAAGATCAAATTATTTTAAACAATTTTTTATTATTTTTTTTTTCTTAATAGATGTCACATTGACTTGTTTTCTTACATGATTATTATGTATTTGACTTTTTTATTGTATGACTATTACTATACATCCATCTTAATATCTTTATTTATGTTACATTCATTATACGCTCATACCGCCCTTCTCGCACCCAACATCCACTATCACACTACGCAAGCAAAAAACATATAAGCAAAATATAACAATAAGTTTACAGTGAAAATAAACAAATACGCTTTGATGTTGTAATTTAAGTGTTTTTAAATAAATTGCTGCCATGATTTACGCAGCACCCTACCTTACTTTTTTTATTAAAAATAAATAAATCTCACTAATCTCGAATCTTTTGTTTTTAGCTGATAAAATAAAAACGAACAAAAAAAAAACAGAGCGGATGAAAAATGGACAATGTTTTTAGCAAATTAAGAAAACTTTATTTAAAAAATGAAAAAAACCAACGGCTCCGAGTCTTAAAAAAAGTCCAGACTTAGATTTCTGGTCACTGGAAATAGACAACATCGTCACCGTTTGTAAGCCCAAAAGAGTCACCCGACAGGCATTGTTTCTTGTTAGTACGCTTCTCGTATTCGACACACCAATCCGTTCGGCGTCTCCGTTCGCCACCTCAATATGACAGACGAGGAACTTTTACGGAAGCTGGAGGACTTCACCAAAAATGCCCAGTTTCACCAGTTGGAGACTCTCCGCTCCATCCTTGATCACAACGGCAGCGTACGCTATCTCCAGCCCTACCTCCGAGGCTATGATGCGCCGGTCAACGCTGATACTTTCAGACGATGCGTGCCCTTGTCTTGCTACGATGATTATGCTGCTTATGTCAACCAAATGGCCAATGGAATGAATGATCGTGATGCGCCTCTCCTCTCTGTTGACCCTCTGCTCTGTTTCTTCTACAGGTATGCATCTTCTTATATGCTCTAATCCCATGAAGATTCCAACGGTGTCATCTTCAGTTTGAGTTCGTAATTATCTTCATTTTTCTTATACTATGGTATCCTTTGATGGGAATAGAAGTCTGTTTTTCGTTATTTGAAGGAACTGAGTGTGGGAAAAAGCGTCGTTGGAAATTTGAAATCAGTATTGCAATCCCTGCCTTTTCGTCGGTATCATTAGCTATGATTAAAAAAAGATGATTAGGGATAATAGTACTATGGCTCTATTATGTTTTCTCTTCGCCATTCTTATTGACCGGCCAGATACTGGAACTTAAGACCAAAATTCCTCAGTCGAGGATACTGATTTTGAAATGAATTATGTGTTCTCAGCTCTGGAACAAGTTCCATGAAGCCAAAACTAATTCCTTACTTTGATTCAAACTATTCGAAAGCTGCCTCCTTTATTGCTCACCGAGGGAGCGTATCCATCCTACAGAGGTAAATTAACCATCAAATCATGTTCAAATTTGATTGGATTTGAAGGATTTATATTACTTCAGCATGATGAGTTTTTAAACCTTCATATAGGCTGTTTCCTCCGAGGCCTACGGTCAACAAGAACCTATGGTTTCTCTATGCCGGCAATATTACTACTACTAAAAGTGGCTTGAAAGTTATGGCTGCTTCTTCCTTCCCTATGCAAAGTGGTAAAGCTACCTCTCAACAACTCGCTTCCAGTTCTAGTCCTCCAGAAGTCATTCTTGGATCAAATGTTCAGCATCAAATGTATTGCCACCTTCTTTGTAGCCTCAGGAACTTCAATGATATAGATGCGGTTAGAGCTCCATATGCCGCAGGCTTGATTAGAGCCTTTAATCTCCTAGAGTCTAAATGGGAGCAGCTATGTGATGATCTTGACAGTGGTTTTGCAAGTGATGAAATTTCAGAAATGTCAACAAGGGAAACAGTTAGAAAAATTATTGACGGGCCTCAACCAGAGTTGTCAAGGAGAGTAAGGCTAGCTTGTGAAGGCAATGACTGGGGTGGAATTGTAAGTAGGTTATGGCCCAACATACGTTATATTAGGTGCGTTACCACTGGCAGCATGAAGCAGTACTACCCAAAGCTTAAGAACTATGCAGGAGATATACCTATTTTAGGAGGAGATTACTTTGCTTCAGAGTGCTGTGTGGGTATTAATTTAGACATAATGCAACCCCCTGAAACAACCCATTATGTACTACTTCCGACAGCTGCCTACTTTGAGTTTCTTCCATTCAAGATGGATCAGGGTGATGATTACAGTGAAGAAACAGTGGACTTTAGTGGTGTAGAGGTAGGGAAGATGTATGAAGTTGTTGCTACCACCCATAGAGGATTCTACCGCTATCGTTTGGGTGATATAGTGAGAGTTGTTGGTTTCCATAACTCATCTCCACTTGTAGAATTTGTGATGAGAGGGCCTAAAACTCATTTTGAGATTCTCACTGAGAAAGACTTGATATTGGCAGTTGAAAATTTTCAACTTGCACTGAGAACTGCTGGGGGAATAGAGATTGTTGAATTTGCAAGTTCCTTGGATGACGAGTTGAAGCCAAAACAGTTGAAGCTATTTGTAGAAGTTAAAGAGGAACATACAAATACAATTGTGCAGGATGAATGGAAAGAATCAGTCGTAACTTTTCAAAGGTTCAGTTCTTCTCTTGAGAGGGGCTTGGGAGCTATGTACAGCGTGCAGAGGGAGACAGGGGAAATTGGGCCATTGTTGATTTTCATCCTAAGGCCTGGAGCTTTTGACGAGTTATCAGAAGTAGCTATTAAGAACGGAGCACCAGCTAGTCAATATAAACCACCTAAGATTATTCAAAATCGGGAAATTGTGAAACTCTTGGAAAATTTAGCCCTTGTGACAGTATCTTTGGATGGCTCATAAATAGTGAATGGACTGGAGTCCTACCACTTCATCCCTTCCCAGACCACCTGAAAGTAAATTAATTTGTGGAATCATGACATCGATCTGATCACATATAGTGATTTAATGTACAGAAGATGTTTAGTTGCTCTTAAAACACTAAAAAGCGCTAATTAAAGGATTGATTTGTCTGGAGATAGATGTAATTGCATGAAGTTGCTTAATGTTCTGTTTGAATCAATTCTTTAAATTATTACAATAGACCGCAGCAAGGGGAAAAAAAATCAAATATGATTGTCTTAGAGCTCCCTAATGTCTAAATAAAACTTACATAAAATATCTAAAGAGCCCTCGATTTTTTACAACATGAGATGAATTTTTTTTTTTTTTTTTTTGGGGGGAATACTTGAATATAGAGGCGAAGACATGGTAGGAATTATCATTCTTTTTTCAACCCCATCAGGGAATATTTTTTACTGCAAGATTCCAACTTCCTACTTGTTGATGGCTGATTGTAATTGTTCCAGACTTTTTCCTTTAGTTTCCGGTACTTCCACAACTATAAATAACACAGCCAGTGCATTGATTGCAGCATAAAGGAGGAAGGTACCTGGAAGGCCATGCACACTAGTAAATTATACTGCTCTATATGTATGTTGAATTGGTGACCTTCTGCGTTTTTATTAGCTCGAATGGGGGAAAAAATTATCATGTAATGATGCTAATCATGAATACTCTAAATGATCTATAAATATGAAAAAATATAACTAGTCTGTACCATAGGAGCTCCAACTCATTAGAAAGTTGAAACTATAAGAACACAACCATGCACCAAACCAGTTTGTTAATGTGGCTAGGCTTCCCGCCTGTCCTTTGATGTTAATAGGAAATATCTGCAACAGAAAGGCAATTTGTAGGCATCATTCTGCTTTCTCTTTGTCAACAAATTACTTGTCACAAAAAAATATGAACAAATAATAATAATAATAATAAATGACGACCTCTGACATTATAACCCAAGGAATTGCTCCCATTCCCACGGAAAATGATGCTATATAAACCTGGCAATAATGTAGTGGTGTTGTCAGAAAGAGTTTGGTGTCACATACTTCATGTCTAATGGAGTAAATTATGTCATTAAAGGAAGAGCAGACGATCAAACCAGTATGCCCGTTACAGCAAGTGCTGGGACCGTGTCAAGGAACACATCATGAACCTGAGTCACACAATGATATCTCGTTCACATAAAAATCAGGACTTGAGACTCAAAGCTGTTAGGTCTCTCTCTTCTCAGTTAAGAATCTACCTTAAAATAGAATGCAACTGCAGTGATTATACAACCTGCGACCAATCCTGATCCAGAAACCTAGATAAACCACAAATTAAGAAAAACAATGATGAGAAACAAGCAATAATTTAAAGGTGAAATATTATGTAGAGGAACTCACCAATAGCAGGGGCTTCCTTCCAGTTTTATCTATCAAGGCGGCTCCAATGCCAGTAACCACAACCTACAAAACAAAACTTAAGATAAATTTGTGTACAGGAAACATATTCATCAAAGATTATCCAAATTTGTGAAGTTAAAATTATGAACCTGAAGAACAGCATATGTTATAGACCCAATGCTAGAAGAAAATCCTGTCAAATAATCACATGATCCACTAATGTCAAAACCAGAAGAAAAAAATTTAAACATGAATTTCCATGAAGCGTAAGATATCTAACACGTTCTCAATGAAGGTGATGGCTGTGGGAAATTTAGGTTAGTTACATGCAGAAGAATATGTTGTAGGGAGACAGAGTCACAGGATGCAGAAGTACAGTCACAGAAAACCTTACAATACCTGCTAATTCGAAAATACTGCTGACATAAAAGCAAACTCCATTGATTCCCCCAAATTGTTGGCAGACCATTAGCCCGATTCCTATCTGGTCATTAGTTATGAAATAACGTTTTGTTGACTTTCTAGGAAAGTGAAAGTTATATGACTATAGTAATAAAAATTTATAATCATAAATTAGATAAGGAGAGATATTATTACAGTGACCGAACGCAAGTATCTACTCTGAAACAATTCCAGCAGCTTGGGTTTTGGGAGTCGATCTAGAGTTGTTATGTAATCCTGTAAATCAGAGAGACATAAACGTCTACTTACACACGTTATTTTTAAAAATGCCTCATGTCTTCGACATTTTGATGGACAACACAAACATAAAGTATTATATTTGGCTATAGAAACCTGAATTTCTTCTGCCTCTGCAGATATATCAGCATCCTTGCAGCGAAAGATTTTAAGTGCCGACACAAAATCGTTTTCTCGTCCTTTCTTTGCCTGAAATCATTATTTGTTGTATTCTATGTTACGGATATATGCTAACGAGACGTACTTTTACTATCATGGATCAATAAACCCCTTTCTCACCAGCCATCTAGGAGACTCCGGAATAAAGAAGAGACCAAAAAGCAGTATAGCACAGGGAATTAGGCCTGCAGTCACTTCCCAGTGAGTCCTTTAGCTAACTGTCATGTAATTGGAAATTCAATTTTGCAAATATGTTTTCTTTCCCATTTTTCTTGTTATAAATGAACTTAGAACTGAGTAGAAATTTCACCAGTTAATGCTAAAGCCCTCCATGAAATTACTGTTCCAATAATAAACGACACAGATACTGCTGTGACAATCATGAACTGCAGCAACAAAAAAATACAGGAGTTTAATGCTAACTACTACCTTTTTTATCTACTACAGATATTTTAACTGTTGATATAGTCTCAATGATCCAGAAAGTTAATATAGTGTCGCCTTTCTTTCAAGAACTACCTGATTTAGAGTAGTGAGCCTTCCTCGGAGTTCTTTGGGAGCAATTTCTGCTATGAAAACCGGTACCTTGTTGTCACCAAAGCCCTAGTTAGTCTTTTAAATATAGAAGTAAAGGTTTCGTAGTCTTGTGACATTTTCTGAATTGTTTCATTAAATAAATTGAAAACACACCACGTAGGAAAATACTCCCATTCCATATCCTGTTGCCAGCCTCCCGATATCCAGTGGCCATGGCCCCTATTGGGTTATGGAAGAGACAGAAGGTATCACGCCATAAATTAGAGAACCACTATAGGTGAAAGTATAAAGAGTATTGGCCCAAAGAACCTCAGAGAAGTAAATGGCAAGCCACCCCGCAATACAGAATGCACTTGACGTTCTCATTGCCTGCATACATTAAATGATTTGCTTTAATCTCGTTTGATAGGGTTCCAGATAAATGCAGTTTCATGTAATTATAGCAACACATTACTTTAAGAAGTTTCAATGCACTTACCCCTTTACGTCCAATAAAATCAGCAACGGGCCCACTAGTAATTGCACCAATCATCGCACCGAAAGTCAAGATGGAGCCGAACAGTGAATACTGCAATCAGCCAATGTCAGAAAAGCATTAGAACACTTCCAGTTCCAGCACTGGAATTGCAGGCACTGAACTGATGATGACGAGCAACTTGTTATGGGATAGCAGCTAAAGACTCTAGCTTCGGGTCGAAGCCTATTGTAAGTGACATCGATCCGAGTCTCACAGAGCTTGCAGTTTCGAAATGCACATCATGGCTCTCAACTTACTGGCCTACCTCTGCCAAAGACAGATTGAGATCCTCTATGATCTCGTCTTGAACAGGCGATGAATAACCGGCCTGCAAACATACAAGAACAATCATATATCAGTGCAATACATGCCAAAGCATCTCAATTAGAGATTTTTTTTTTCCTGTACTAGGGCAGAGAGCCGAATTGAATAGCAAGCAGTTAGCACTTACACAGGCTCCAAATTCGTAGGAGCCACAGACTGCGACAATGGTAGCTAAGTACACCATCCATGGTTGCCCACTGCTTGCAGGCGCAGTCTCACTCCTATCTTCATTAGCCACGAGCTTGGGTTCCGTAATCAGTGGATCTGTAATTTCCTCCTGGACACCACCCTCCACGTCCTCTCTGATTGCCATCTCAGCTTCTGTATGTTATGCCCACGCGCTTGATCCCTGTGATAAATGGCCAAAAGCTGCGGTGCTAAAACGATAGACTCAAATTCAACGAAGCTTGCAGTTGTGGAAGCGGAGGGAATTAATTCTTATGACAAGGCAGGGCAAGCCATGACCTGGCAAGCAATATCCCTTTTGATTTCTTGCCTCTCCAACGAGATGGTCACTTGTCACGCTCCATAAGTATGACACAGGGCGGCGGACAAACCTCCCCTTAATTTTCTTAACGTATGTTCGGTTACTTTACAAATACTAGGGGGAAAAGATAAAATTAGTTGATAATTTTGAAATTAACTTCTTTCTTCCCAAAAAAAAAAAAGATACCTTTATTTACTTATTTTCGTCAATAAAAGGGGTACCGTTAATTAAATTATGATCTGTCCTTATTTCTCCGTGCATTTACTTTCAGATGTATTGTTTTAAAAAAAATAATTACTTCTTAAATTTTCTAAAATGTTTTATTAATAAATTTTCAAATGACGCCTCTGCAAAAAGAAACAGAAAAAATAGTCATTGGTCATTAATCAGTTAACTAATTATGAAAAAGGGGATAGTTTATATTTGATTTCTTAGATTCCATCAAAACAAAAACTATTTCATCTATTCCAATTTGTCATCATGTTGATTTCGCAATTCATTCAATTGTCCCCACTGGATCTGGATCTCACGCAGTAAGCAGCAGAGGAGTCGTGGTCGTTTCCCTTTGCTGTTTTATATCGAAAACACTGTCTTGAATTTCATCTCACCTCATCTTATCGCTTGAATGAGCCTTGTATAACTGTTGTACTGTGGAGGACTTCAACAGATGAAATTTTGCGACCTGGACAATAACATATGCCATGAATGAGAAGACCAAAAAAGTTGAATCCTTAGAACATGATGATCTCCAACGGTGGACTCACTTTTGTAGTTGGAACATAAATTTCCAAGCATCCACAAAGAACTAACCATAACGTTCGTGGCTACTGTTATGTTTTGAAATGCAACAGCATCATCTTTCGAACACCACCAAACGTTAGGGCTTCTAGTTCAGTGCATCTTTAATAATAGTATATCGTGCTAGCTAAATTACTAAATTTTTTCTAGCAGTTTGATTCTTTTTCAGTTCAGTCGTCCTTCTTATAAGCTAGTATCATTTTAAAATAACAGATGATAAAATTGCTAGTAAGAGAAGATGATAAAATTTAAAACAGTCATTCAATTATTCAACGTGTAATCGTGTACCTTAAAAGTATAGTCTATACAATCAAACTTATTTACCATGTAGTAAATCACATCACTAGAATGCAAAAGTTGTCGCCTTCGGACTATTTATTTTTCCAAACTGATCCAGCATACTTATTTAATTAGAGAAAGTGGTGCGCATTCTGTATATTAAAAGCAGAATGTGCCTTTTGGGATCCGGTACTGAAGAATTGAAGATGCGCATGCAATTTTTTGTTTATTTGCTTAATTTTTGAAAGCCTGCACTTGCATAATTTATATTTATTAACCGTATTGTTAAGTGAAATTATTACTAACTGTGTTCACAGTTACTCGCTCCAATTCCAAATATTGATCACATTTTAGAAGTTAAATTTGGTCAACAATATTAGTTGCGGGCCTATGTATAATTTTTATCTCAAACTGGAATCCCTAAAATATCCTTGTTCACTTTACCTTTTTGACTCTCTCTCAATTTACTTTGTCCTTTGAATTGTTCCTCGCATCACTTTCTCTCTCATTGTCTTCACTCTCTCTGTTGGTTGCCTCTCTTCCATCAAACACCATTTCTCTTCCATCGCCATTTGAACAAGGCTTGCCGTTCAAGTCTAATGGAAAAGGGTTTTTATGGTCTGTCATGGGATGAACTGATAGGGTGCGTAATTGATGATTTTCTTGATAGGGAAGAAGATTTACTCTTGACTTCCTTAGAAAGGAAACCTCTCAAAATTGAAAGATTTTGAGAGCCTTGTCCAAACAATACTTTCATTGTGTCCTTAGACTTTGTCAAAATGAAGTATCAAAAGAAAGTCCACTCATTTGATTTGAATGAAGAGGCAATCGAGGATGGTAAAGAAATGAGCAATGGCAATAATAGCACAATTCTAGGGTTCAGAAAAGCAAGTAAAAAGAAGATTGTTTACTCATTCGACCTTAACAAGTTTTCATTTTCAAAGGAAGACCATACACATCTGACTGAGGAAGAGAAAGACCATAATCAATTTGTATATGACACGTTGCATTATATGCTTTGATTACTTTGAAATTTCTACTCCTTTTGTGTATTTTGGTTAGTCTAGTTGATGATTGTCTTGATATATTAGCTTATCATGTTCTATGTGCATCTCTATCATGTTTGGTCTCTCTTTGGCCATAAGCACATTTTTTAGTTTAATTACTCTCTTTGGGTTGGTTTTGTTCAAGTACTAAATTAATCTTTCTCTTACAGTAAAATTTAAATGTTTTTTCAGAACTTGAATTTCTTATAACTATTATAGCAGAAAGGTTTTATCTTTAGACAAAACTTATTAGAAATTAGTGTAACGAAAACTCACTACCAATAAGAGCCATTACTCAATTGAAATGCTTTATTGTCAACAGCATCAATTATAAAATATTTAAATTGCAAGAGATCAATCATCCTAAAATATTGACTATTAATATTGTGTGTTGTAATTTAAATGAAAAATTATAATATAAAATATTAATAACCAAAATATAGAGAGTTCACAAAAACATCAACCCCTTTAATGTCAACCATCCATACACTTCTTCTAAGTGCTCCAACACTTCTTCAATTATGGATGGATCATGCTTAACTTGATTAAGCAATTCACCTTTTCTTTCCATCACATCAGTCTTCAGATGGCTTTAGTTATATTTGTTTAAACCTTTATCCTTCATAATTTTGATCATAGTAACTTGTAGTGTTAGGAAGATCCTATTCAGTTGTTTAGATGTGCAAATTTCAAATGATTTATCCTCGGCCTTGACAAGCTCATCTATAGTTTTAGGTGCTTATTGGTGTTATAGTGCTTGAATGGTTCTAAAATACTCAAGATCCAAAATGTTTAAATTAAGAGAGTGGAGGTTTGAGAAATCAAGCAATTATCAAACCCACCTTCACTTGTTGCCATACAAAAATCCTCATAATTTTCTCCAATATGACAAGAAGCATTATCTTGCTAAACAAAAATGGTTTTTCTTACATGACTTGATGGCCACTTAGCTTTGATTTCTAGCAATACTTTGTTAAATAGGAAAGATTTCATGATTTTTTTTTTTGTAATTGAAGTGATTAGTTTTGTTTCTGTTGTGCCTATACTTCTATTCATGCTTCTTCTTCTTGCTACCTCTTTTCTAACAAATGGAAACAACCTAATATTCCTAGCAAAAATTTCATTCCCTTATGCATCAAATCTAGATCATGCCACAATAACTAGAAACATAACCTTACCAATATAGTTCTTTCTTTTACATGTTTAATGTAGAAGCTTCTCCCCTATTGCCAAGTAGTAGGTCATGGATTTCCTTATCATGTAAAATCATTTTTCATCAATGTAGATCATGTTGTGCATGAATTAAAAAGTTAGATCATTTAGTATGCTTTCTTATTTAAGAATGGACAAACACCACCCTAATCAAGCTAGCAAGTTTTGCACTAGTGTGGCACCACAAAACTCCTTTTTTCAAGTTTAATCAGTAATGTCTAGTTAACCTTCAGTGCACTTGCAAGTGACCTATAAGTAGTTTATTTTTGTAAAGTAATTGCAACGGGTTGTTGCATGTTCACATCAAGTCCATTTCTTTCACACTTTTTTGTCTTTCTATAAGTTGCATCACCTATTTCCTTAACTTAATGTGAAATGCGTTGAATGAATCTCATTGAAATTGAGTATGTTGAAGCTATTTCTCTTGTTGTAAAACTTTTCAGCTTAACGTGACATCTTGAGTTTAACAAAATCTTATAAATGGCTGCACATTTTTTATTTGATAAGAACCTTCTTCTTTTACATGGTAGCTGCATTGGTGATTCAATTGTATTGTGTCTCATACTTGTCTCTGTTTCAAAAGTTTATTAATATTAGATTTCATGGCAAACCATATAATTCAATGAACTATTTTCTATAGAAAAAGGCTCAAGGGAGGCTGAGTTAGATTTCAAATTTAGCAAGCTTTTAGGAGATGAAAAAGATATAACTTCAAATGATAAGTTAGGCATAACAGAAAATGAGGTCTAAGAAAGTAAAGATAATTGATAGAAATGAAGGACTCTTTCTTATGTATCTCATTTAGTTGATTTTGATTTTTATTATAAGAAGCATACTCCAGTTCCTTTACTCTTGCCTATTCTGATTTTGATTCTTTGGCAACTTACTTCTCATTTGATTATAAAAGGAAAGATTAAATCACTTATCACGCTAAACAATATAAGTGTGCTCTATACTTATCTTAATTAACGATTAAATATGCATGTCAGATTGTGTTTATATTATGATTCTTAATCGTTGTAAGACTAGCAGGATAGTGATGTATCATCATGGTTTGTAAAACTTGACCAGTTGGTCAACTTGGCTAACCAGCGAACCGACAATGTGTTTGGTCTAGTTTTTTTATTTTCTTAAGGTACTAGTTAACCCAGGTGACCTAAGATTAACTTGCCTAACCCCACGAGTCAAGTGAGTTAGGTGAGTTACATAAAATTAAAAAAATGTAAAAGCCTCTTACCTCTCGGCTTTGATCTCTTATCCAACTCAAAAAGAAAAGAATAGACCTTCGACCTTCTTGGCATTTTTAATAGTCCATTCTCGTTTGCCAGCTCCATGTATCTATTGTTTATGGGTCTTGTCTTTGACTTTTTCAACCTTCTATGGGTTTCATTGGCAACTCTACTTCACCATTATCTCTATACCATCTTTGTTAAGTCAAAATCCTCTTCTTAAATGTTGTCTGATGCTTGTCATAGTCTTCATCTAATGTTAGTGGGGTTGTTTTCGCTTAGAGAAAGAGACAATGAAAGATGAAGTCATAAAGATAAAAATGAAGGGTTTATTTGATTCGAGGGGAGGAAAGGGAAGAGTTTTAATGTCAGGAAAAGGAGGAAAAATAATTATATATAGATAAATTTACCTTTATCTTATTAAAATTATTTTTCTAAGAAAATATAATTATGAATGTTTTTAATAAGCAATTACAAGATAAAATTATCTCATTAAATATATAGGATTATAATTATAATACATAATTACTACTTGCAATATATATACACATAATTTTATTTTTTTATTTAAAGAAGGGGCATATTGGTCATTGCACAATAAAATTATACCCATCATTTCCCAACCCCCAGTTTAGAGAGGTTGGGAGGATTTGGTTAAAATTTTTCCTCCCCTCCACTATTCCAAACTAAATAAGAGGATGATAGCAAAATCTCTCCCATCCTCTCTCTTTGTCCCCAACCAATCAATACCAAAATGGCTAACCATTGTTATTCAAAGTTTCAAATCATGAGCCATAACAGTATTATTGAATTTTTTGTTTAAACGAGGTGTCAATTTTATCATTCCATCCCATCTCCCTATTCACATTTTCTTTTTTCTTTTTTTATGAACCCATACACGTTTTCTCTACATGTTCTATCACTACTCACTCACATATTTCAATCTCTTATTAATTAAAATTATATATTTACATGTATTTTTATTATTTTTAAACTTGTAAGTTTTTTATTTTTATTTTTTAATTTTATATTTATATCATATAACTATTTCTTATTAATGAGCTTTTATTATAATTATATTATTTTATTATGTCTGGATGGACTCCAATTTGACCTTTGTTAATCCTCTAATCCCTAATCCCTAACCTCAGCCGTTTCATTTACTTCCTTTGTTCATTACCTCATTTCAGTTGTTTATTTACTTATAGAACATTGTTTATTGTTCTACTTCGTTTGTTCATTTCTCTAAAATGAAATCAAATGAAAGTAGAGTAATGAACAAGTAAAGTAGGGTACATCAATTTATGCGTAAATAAATAACATACAATATAAAAACTAACAAGTTATTTTAAGACGATTTAAACACTTTAAATGAAATCAAATGAAGTATGTCAATGAACAACACTCCGTAAATAAATGAACAAGTAAAACAGGGTAATGAATAAGTAAAGTATAACAATTTTGATACTAATTTAAATGAGAGTAATTTTATCATTTTTCTTAAAAATTTAATATTAAATCAAGATCTTTGGATTATAGTGATATGCTAAAAATTTAAAAACTTTGATTTAAAATAAGTTTTATCAAAAGGTCTTCATTGATATTTTTGTCTTTTTGTTTATGGCTCATAAGTATTCTTTTATTAAAAATAATTTTATTTAAAATATAATTAAATATTAAATATAAATATTTTTCATAACAAAAATTTAAATATTAACTTATCATATTATACAGAATTAATCATTTCTATTCTAAATGATTATTAATTCGGGCATTGAATGTTGCAAAATTTCTACGTTGTCGTCCTTATTAGGCCCAGCTGTGCACCAACTACCAAGGGAAATGGACTTCATTATCACATCTTGTCAGTGCTTATCTCATGCCATGCGTAAAATAAGCGTGAATTTATTATTTATTAATTATTGTACATTTGTAATCAAGCAAGTAGGTAAGTAAGTGCCCTGTGAGCGTAAAATGAACTGAATAAACTTCCTGTGGTCGAGCACGAAATTTGAAACAGGCCTACTAACACTTCAACGGGACAGCCCTGCCCAGCTTTTGATGGTTTCAAGTAAATATTCTTTTCAAGACGCATAATTAAAAAAAAAAATGTCATATTGGTGTTACCACAAAAACTGAAAAAAGTTACATTGGTTGATCTGGTGTTCAGCAAAGGTCAATTGCCAAGATCATATTATATTCCTTTAATTATTGGGTCTACGGGCGCCTCACTCTTGCTTTGACTGAACTGAAGACCCCAGAAAGAAAAGAAACGCCTATATTTTGTCATTACAAAAGCCCAAAAGACAAAACTAGAAAGACCAAAATGTTCTTGTTCTACCTCGTTTCAAGAATACCCATATTTAAAAAAATAAAATACAATAAAATAAAAGAGATACATTCATAAATCATATTGGTAAAACGACATTCGTAAATCATAAGCTCCCTTTTTTAATATATCCATGTGCCGATATTTACTGTGCTACAACGCTCAAACTTTTGGGTTTCCTCGCTAGCAAGAGAGAATAAGAAAGCAACCGCCTGAACACTTTCCTTGACAGGGATGGATCTAGAAATCAATATAACGGGGGCCCAAAATGAAAGATTACAAGAAAGTGAGGGGCCAAAATTAATTTTCACATGTGTTACAAATAAAAATATATACTTTTTACAAAGTAATCTTATATCATGATTCATGGGGGCCGGTACCCCTGCTTGCTCCCTTGTGCGTCCGTCCTGTTCATTGAAGATTTTTACTAAAATGATAGATGACACTGAAATAATTAATAAGCTAGAAGCATATGAAGACCAAATAAGAAGTAGCTGACTCTGTTTTCGTCAGAGTTGTAGGAGCATCAGCTTGTGCATATAATGCTTCCAGCAACCAGCAATCTAATATTAATTTTTTTTTAAAATAATCACAGTGAAATCAACAAGGGGAATATAGTTATATACACAAGTGATGGATCTGGAGCCTCAGCTTGGATCATTTTCATTCTTAATTAGAATTAAAAGAAGAATGACGGTCACCGTCAAATGCATATGATTGATAACCAGTTGGACTATAAAGCTGAACCGAACCACAATTACTGATAGATCTCTCGATATCACTCCTCCTAGCAACCAGAGGAAGCGGTCTTTCGGGTATAGCGGGCACTGATTCATCTGACTCCAACATCTTAACCACCTGGTCCATTGTTGGCCTCGCATATAACTGTGGATGAGAGCAAACTACAGCAACCAACACATACTTCTCCATGACATGTGGAGCACCAGTTTCTGGCATACCATCTTCAATAACGTCCAAAGGTCGACCTGTTCTTACCAATGACCAAGCCCAGTCAGAGAGAGCAGAAGGTTGGCCATCATGGTTCATTTCAAGACCCTTCTTCCCACTCAAAAGTTCAAGAAGCACAACACCATAACTGAAAACATCACTTCTTTCCGTTAACTGTCCATACAATGCATACTCGGGAGCCACATACCCCATGGTTCCAGCTATCCTAGTGCTCATATGCGTCATTCCCTCAGGGTAGAACTTTGCAAGTCCAAAGTCTGCGACCTTGGCTTCAAATTTCTCGTCCAGAAGTATATTGCTGGCTTTTATATCCCTATGGATGATAACTGGCTGAGCCCCGTAATGCAGATAAGTCAGTCCTCTTGCAGTCCCCAGTGCAATCTTTTGACGGGTTGGCCAACTGAGTTTCTTACACATAGAACCGAACAAATGATCGTGAAGACTCCCATTCTTCATCAACTCACAGACGATAATCCTCTGGTGACCCTCTAAATTAGTTGTGGCAGTGCAAAAACCTCTCAACGCAACGAGGTTTACATGCCTCACACTTGCTATAACCTCAACTTCGTGAGCGAAACTCGCATCCCCTGCAGCCGAACAGTTCTTGAATCTTTTCAATGCAACTTCACTCCCATCGGGCAACACTCCGTTATACACATTCCCATATCCTCCTCTCCCAATAACGTTGCCCGGGTTGAAGTTCCTAGTAGCCTTCTTAATGTCATCGAATGTGAACCTGATTAAGGTCGTGCTCTCATTCAAGGAATTCAACCCGGAATCTAACCCCGTCTTAATTCTGCTAATATTGTGCTTTCTCATTATCTTATTCTTCTTCAATCCTCTCCGGCAAAGCCAGAACCCACCAATCACGAATAACAAGCCCAACACGCAAACAACGGAAGCAAGGGCAATAACAATCCGTTCCACCCTACGATTGGAGCTCGCAGGTTCAAGATCCATGGAGAACAAGCACTTAGCAGTCCCAGAGTCGGTGGGTCCATATTGATTGACGATTGCAGCAGCATAAATTGATGAATAGTCCCTGCAAGTGGAGACGTTTCCAATCGACGGTCCGCTCAAGTACGAAGCAGATAGCTTGGACAAGCTGTTAATACAAAGAGAGCAAGAGGAGTTATGCGCAAGCGAGTGATTGCAATTCAACCGCACATCTTGAAGAACTGGCTTGGGAACAAACGTTTCGAATTGCTGACGGGTAGTGATATTCATGCATCCTTGGGAGATCCAGCTGCTTTGGAATCCACAAGAGAAGCGAATATCAAAGTTGGAGTCAAATTGATGAGTGTAAGAGTGGAAATCATGCCAGCAGGACTCAGAAGAGTCGAGAGCAGGGAGGAAGAAATCACCAGAGCGACGGAGGTAATCGGACTGAACAAGATGGAGGGCGTTGCGGACGTGCTGGCAGTGGGTAGCGGGATCACGAGGTAGTCTGAGCCAGCCGGTGACGTCGCGGAGGATGGTGAATTTGAGGGGGCAAGGCCCGTTGTTTGCGGAGAGGTAAGGGCGTGAGAAAGCGAGGAGGACCACGATGAGGAAGGAAAGAGACATCGAGGATGATGCCGTACAAGTCCAAGAGTGAGAATGAGAATAGCGAAGGCGATGGTCGGAGAGGGACCTTGAAATTGAACAGGTGGGAAGAAGAGACAATATGGAGGGGGAGGAGCTGTATCATTTTGACGGTGGAGGGGGCACTAAGCCACTTACCACTTTAACTGCTATTGCTAAAATACCAAACCCTTGAAGATCCTTCCCCAGGAGCTCAACATCGCAAAAATCGCGTTGAGCTTTGACCTTCCCAAAATGGTTCCACCATTGGTCCACCGCCAATCTAAATCTAAATTATTCAAATTAAATAAGCATTTTTAAAAATTATTAAATCTAAATTATCAAATATAATTTTACACTCTAGATTTGCCGTGTATTTTTCAAAGGAGAAAACCAACTCCCAAAGAATTTTATTATCGCTTCCCATCTATTGCTTTTATGTTTGCTTGCGCTTGAATCAGTTTCCCAATTCTGAGTCTTCCCTTCGAATTATTATGTTCGAAGGCCCTGCACAGAAAAAATGCAGTAAACACTGTTCCTGCCACCTGGCGCCACATGCAGACGCCATCTGCTTGGAGCCGGAAATCTGTGGATGTTTGACTGTTGCAAGTGAATGAGACTTGCGGTCCACGTTAACTAGAATTCATTATCAGGGCGTTTTCTCGGGTTCCGGATCCCGGTTGTTAGGAAAATAAAATAACTCTCTTTCGATTAGAATTCTTAGTTGTACAAATAATTTTTTTTCCCAAGTTCACAGAAAAAAGCATGTATTAAAATTGGAATCCATTCATTTTATTGGTCGTTAAACCGTCAAGCGTTGTGTTAAGTCTGACACAGAATGTCAACCGACGTTGACAATAATGAAGAGAGAAAATGAAATTAAGAGGGTTAGGTGGTGGCAAGCAAAATCACTGTTAAACTTATCATTTTACTTTGCTGAAGTAGCTAGTCATTTGATTAGAGATACTTTATATTTTATATATTCATAATTTATAATTCATTTTATAGTTATTAAATGTGTGACTATAAATTTTTTTATTTTTAATATTTCTTTTGTTATTTTTTTTATTTTTTTCATTTTTTTCCCTCTTATTTAAGCTTGTACTTTTTAAAATGTTAAAAGTCTCAGGTTCATTTAATTTTTTTTCCTTTTTTCTCTTTTTTTATTCTCTTATTTTTTTATCTTTCATTCATTCTTTTTTTTTCTTAATTAATTTATCATGTTAAACTCATTATATTAAGCAATTACGGCATTGAACACGCAAAAATTTGGTTTTTTTTTTTTTTTTGTGGTGGGATGGGTAGAACCACCAATCAAATAACCAGTACTAAAATACTAAATGAATGTTGACAATATGCTTAAACGCCAACCTATTCACGTCATATTGGAGGTCGCTTTCTAGTTTCTAAACAAAAATGATCTCAACCTATCTTCTTATTAACGTGCTCAAGAAAAAGACACGACCGTCCATCTACGAAGAAAAGCAGAGTCGCTATTAATATGATGATGAATCGTACCAATTAATTTGCCCCCCTCAGTTAATTTCAATTTTGATTGTGCATGTAGCGATTGTGTTGTAAATTAAATTGAAGTATACATCCATATCTTATATCTAAAATATATATAGGGGATAGGATGATTGGTAGGAAATACAAATATACACGTTACATGGTTTCCGGGTAGATTTACTAAGCAAAGTGACAGTTGATTAAGAGTCCATTAACATCAACTAAATTGCACGTTTGGTTTAGGATTATGATATGGCCATTGCACACATAAATTACATCAGCTTAGGTGCTCCAAAGTCCAGACTATGAGCTCGGCTTTTGTTTTCAAGATCAAATATGTACACGGTTCTGAAAATTCTTCATGTTGGGTAGCCCAAATAAAAGCCTAATTAAGGAATGAGGTTTTGGTACAATTATGAAAAATGCTTCGGCTTAATGTGCAATTCTCTCATGTCTTCAAATGTAATTTTCTCCCTTTTAACTTTCGAATTAGGGAGAAAATGGTTATCTAACTGTATCCCACACATTACCATCATGTGCATTGTGGATACTGCTTATTAGTGAGCAGATCTCTCATTTTGGCAACAAATGGAAGTTTTGGATAAAAAGTTATCACTATTAAATAGTGATAACTTTTTTTGCTATGAAAATCAAGAATCAAGTTTGGTCGTGTAACTTCGTTCTCGCATATGACATTCATTCGGTACCTCACCCAATGTTAGTTTTCTCCTCCAAATTCTTATATTGGTATTAGAAAAGTCTGAAGCTCTTGAGTGCTTTAGATGATACATCAATGAGGTTGAAAGTTAAATGGATAGTAAAATTAAAGCATTGCAAATTGATTGAGGATGTAAATAATTGTTTGATCAATTTAAAGAACCATGTGAAGAAAAATGAATAATTAGACAACTAATCATTCTTGACACTCTACAGTAAAATGGAGTTAATGAAAGAATAAATAGAACTCTTTTAGATATGGTTAGGTCAATGATGACATAAGCAAATCTTTCAATCTCGTATTGGAGGGATGCCTTGCTAACTGTAGCCTTCATATTTAATCATGTGCTCTCAAAATCAATTACTTCCACACTCTATGAGTTATGGACAAAAAAATAAAATTGATTTAAATATCCTAAAATCATGGGAGTTAGCTGCATATGTCCATGATGATTCCTATAAATATGAAAAATTAGGTCTAAGGGGGAAGACTTGTATCTTTATAACATATTTTGAGCAATCAAAGGGTTATGTTTTTATTAGTGAAAATGCTAATGGAATTATAATTGAAATTGAACATAGGAATACCACGTTTATAGAAAATGAGTTTCCTAGCAAGGGAGAAGTTGACAAAACTATATCTCTTTATGAGACACAGGAGCAACATAATATAAAACAAATAGATATGCCTGAATCATCACAAAATGCTGATCTAAATAGGATCTCTAAAAGGTCTACCAAAAGACCCATAAAGATTCAAAATTTACAAAAGACCCCACTTCAAAAAAGTAATAGAGAGGGTGCGCCAGAAAGGCGCTTCCAAATTGAGGGTGGAGCATTGATGGTAACTCCTTAAGGTGATGATGAGTCACGTTTTGTAAATGAAGCTTTATTAGAACTTGTTAAGGATAAATGAAAGAAAGTAATGGAAGAAGAAATGGATTCCACAAAGACTAACTAAGTATAAAAATTAGTTGATTTATCATGTGGTGGAAAGGCTATTAGAAACAAGTATGTTCTCAAAATAAAAAAAGAAGAAGGAAAGAGTTCCATGTGCCAGTGCAGTTAGAAGTATGATGTACGTAATGATGTGTGCAAGAACAAACATCTGCTATGCAGCAAAATTTGTGAGTCATTACCAATCCAACCCTAATAAAGAACACTGAAAGGCTGTGAAGAGAATCTTAAGATGTTTGAAGGGTACTGTTGATTATGCATTGTGTTACTAAGGGAGTGATCCATGCCTGACAGGATACTCCGACATGAATTTGGGTGGAGATAAAGACGAATGAAGATTGACTTCAGGATACACTTTCTAGTCGAACAATGGGGCCATTTGTTAGAACAACAAGAAGCATACATGCATTGCCCCACACTCTATAAAAGTTGAGTTTGTAGTATGTACTGCAGTAGTGCAAAAGGTTATAGCTGAAGATATTTTTAGAATATCTTGAATTGGGAAATGAAAGTACAAATTCAATGTTAATTCATTGTGACAACATTGCAGCCATAGCCTATACTAAATATTCTAAGTACCAAATTAGAACCAAGCACATAAATATTAAGTACAATTTTCACGACTGTATAATAGTAGATCCCTTAACAAAACCTATAGTTAAAGAGATATTTGAGAAATATGTAAGGGCTTTTGGTATGTTTAGATTTTGAAAAGACAGACTTGGTGTAATATTTTGGTTATATTAATAAAAAATTTTCATTACTTCCATATGTATGTACTTCAAAATATACAATGTCTAGTATGTTGTACAGGCTAATAGGATCAACTCTCTTACACAAGTAACTGCCTTTGACATTCAAATCAAAGACGAGATATTTATGTTCACCAGTAAGGCAATAGAAGTGTTGATATGGTAGAGAAGAAGCACAAATCATATGCCGCATCAATTAAAAAGTAAGTTGAGATGAGATTCATAAGTGTACTTAGGTCGAGTCATGGATCTCTATATTCATGATGCTTGTAGCCAAATAACTAATTCTTTTAAATTGACGTCATATGAGATTAATAGAATAGAATATAATAGAATATAATAATTTAGGTCTAGGTTCAGTGGTACAATTGCTTAAGTTTTGTTTGGTGTTATTAATAAATGAAAATGACATACGCTCTTACAAGCAAGAGTAACACCATAACATGTGTTTCATATCACATATGCTTAAAAATGGCAATTGGGAAGCAAGTGAATAAATTCTCACTTCATTACTGTGTGAGTCCTAGAAAGGAAAATCTTTTCAATGATGTCCTTTAATTTTGACATTATCATAGAGACATGTCATAGTGTATGCTACTTTAACATACATCCTATCATCATGATTGATGCGATTTAAAGGTATCATGTTAGAAAAGCGACTGTTTCCTATTAAAGTGATATTCAAGCAAAAGGAAAATTACCTTAAATATACACATTCTTGCTCATATTCAAGACATGTCCCTCATAAAATAATGTGATAATTCATATATGTGGGTACTATGCAATTAAAGGAGACTATCTGAGTCTTAGACTGACTCAAGAGAGATTAGATTAGTTATAATGAGAAAAGTAAATATTGATAAATTTAGGACATTAAAGCAAAAATTTAATTAAGAATAAATTAAGTTATAAGGTTATTTGTGCTAGTTTTTAATAGGATTCTTAGTACGAACACTCAAAACGAAGGCGTCAATCCTATGAGGTCACAACAAAGCACCTTGCATGAAAAGAGAGAAAAGAAAAGGACAAGCCTGACATTATCTTTTCCACCAAGTGTGAATGAAAAATGTTGAGATATCTACCCTTAGTGGATAAAACCTAAATATAAGCCCAATTAAGGAATGAATTTTTGTCACAATTATGAGAAATGCTTAGGCTTAATGTGTAATTCTTTCAGGGCCTCAAATGTAATTTTCTCCCTTTTAACTTTTGTATTAAGGAGGGAACAGTTAGATAACCATATCTCACATGTTCTTATCATGCGCATTG